ATTCCTTCATGTGGCAATATGTCCAAGAAGACTAATTAGCTACCTTGATTTCTAGCTATTGTTGAACGAAAACAAAAATCCATAACAAAACTATTAATTTACTTAAGTAAACGTTCAGTCAAAGTTTATAAAGAGTTCGGTAATATAGGAAAGTTTTGGTATACGCACCTTTCATTACTTTCAAAGCTCTACGGCCTTGACCAACATAAACAAAAACTTCGGTCAAGGTTGAATAGCAAGTTTATTATTATCATATGAATTTATATACATGTATGTTGACATCATAGATGTAATAAAGTGACATCAACATACAATGTAGGTACCAAATTCACTAAAATACATAATTATAATGCTCCAGAATTATCTTTCCTTCTTTCAGCTTCATTTTTCCAGACACATTTAATACGTATGTTCCGTTGACTTGGTTTTCAGAAATGACATGAATAAATGGGCGTTCAATAAAGATCATGATTTTTAAAGGGACCTTCACGGTGTCCACGAAAGCTGAATGTCTGCGCAAAGGGTCTCAGATTTTCGATTCCCAGGTCCGGCAAAGTATTAATGTTTTTTTTTCTTTAAAATATCAATATGGGTGTTACATTGTACACTGGCATTAAGTGCCGTTACGTGCACCTCTGCCTACGCCCTTCGGGGATAAAAAGCGTAATGTTATGTTATGTATAAAAAATAACTGCCAAAAATTAATTTTGTATACTGAAGTGAACGGAAACGAGCTGATGATGGTAATGAAAAAACCACTTAGGAAATATAATCACTACCTAAATGAAATGTCTTTTACACCAGTCCACCCATTACTAGTTACGATACGAGGCACGATTCTCATTTCATATAGCCACTACATTTCCATTTTACTAACACCTAACGAGCGGTAATATCACCTACCACTAAAATAACCCTAATCTCGGTGTCATTGCTTTTAATTATACCATTCCCTTTACATTATACTTGCCTAAGTAATTGTTAGCGTTACTCGTAGTTATTTTTGTTCTATGTTTAGGAATATTGTCCTTCCAGGGTGTATTTGTGGACGATATTGTTGTTGTTTGGTGTAATGATAATGTTTAATGTAACTGGTAAAGTATCATCCTTACTATTCTTAGGGCCAATTTATCAATGCTCAGATAAATTTTAACTGAGGATCAACTTTAAATATTTGATAATTCTTCCGTACTAAAAACTGTCAACTGTCAATTTTATTCTACAGTCAAGAATTAACTGATGATTGAAGAATCGGCCCTTAGTGGGTAAAAGTAAGTTGGTGCAACCCAGCCTTAAATGTTGTTGTATTGTATTGTAAGTCGCCGCGCAGAACCTAACGGATTGCCGGGGCTCCGGCTCGACGTGCAGGAGAAGGAACGGGGTGGTTTTTAGTCAGTAAGAGTCTGACACTCCCTCCCGCCTCACCCAGGTGGGAGCAGACATTCGATGATTTTCCCCCCTTAAAAAAAGACAGTTGAGAGGTTAGAAAGTTGTTGTTTTCCTTTGTCAACATAGGCGAAGGTGCGGGTGAATTTCTAGTAATTTTATTTCGATTTTGTTAGGCTATGTAGCAAAGCATCTACGTAGATTTATGTACTTACATACTTACCTAATATTCATAAAAGAATCTCGAAGTAGAAGTATAATCAGCAGTGAATTCTGAAGATTATTCTGATGGAGAAAGTTTTACAAACCTATTTTTTTTATTTATGTAAGAAATCTACTTACTTATAAAATCAACCTACACTGAATCAAAAAGGGCTATGCATGATACCTTCCTTCACCCACCATCCACCTACAAAAAGTATTTGCATATTTGAAATAGAAAATTGCACTTCCCAATATTTCATCATATAAAGTGTACCTACATAGTTGTCTGGGAAAACGAGGAACCCGTTCGCTAGAGGTTTTATTGTCCTGTCTCAAGTCTAGTGGGAGTTAGACTGGAGTCCTAACCAATTTTCTATTACATCGCCCATCGCCCGTAACAAGCGGAACCCTTCATCCTACTCTAAAAGATTAGGATCTATAAAATGCATGAAGAAGTTATATAGACACCCTTGGTGTACCTAGTTTACTATCGCTATCTCTAATGCTTTGTTCGCACTACTCTAGTAATTTGGTCGAGTAGCGAGTATTTAGTAGTTCTCTCTCGCTTTGATTTCGGGACAGGTGCGAAATAGAACAACTAAATACTCGCTACTCGACTAAATTACTAGCGTAGTCCGAACAAGGCATAAGTTACGGATTCAGAGATAGCACCTACCTAAGTAGTTGGTATCTGATTCCAATTTCCATGCTGTCTTACTTTACGTACAGGGTTATCGCTCAGTGATTAAGGTAACTAATGACGATAACTAAAGTTTAAGAACTTTAACTAGACTTAGCACTTACTTACACATTGTGCTTAGTTAGGTTGGTCACTCACCTAGGTTGGTGAGTTGGCAAGTAACACTATACTAGTTTCAAACTTTCGTTTTATAAGACACTAGCTGTTACCCGCGGCTTCGCTCGCGTCACAAAAGGATAAAAAGCCAATGTGACATATACCAATACACACAGCGCCATCTATACCAATACTTTTGTTTTCCCTCGGGAATATCAAATTTTTCAGGGGTAAAAAGTACCCTATTACTTAATCCGGACTTCTAACTTTACGTCTGCAAAATTTCAAAGCAATCGGTTTTAGTAGTTACGGCGTTAAAGTGAAACAAACAAACAAACAAACTCACTTTCCGATTTATAATAGGTATAAGTAAGGAAGGAATAAGTATGGACAAGTAAGGATTGGCTTTTGGCATTAGCTTCTGCACTAATTACTTACACAATTATGTTATGAATTCAATGCAGAATTCGAAACTACGTGGTCCATTCATGTTGTGGTGGACTCACTAATCGAGACTTCTTGCTTAATAATTGAATTCGGGGACTTGACTTGGCCAAGGAGCCTATCAACTAGAACCGGGTAAAAAGTACAATTAGGTACAAATTACTTACAAAGGGTAGGTAACTGACCTAGCAATTAATTCACATTGCATGACTTTCGTTATGCAAGCTCTTTGTGATTCTACAAGTTTTTTTAATGTTCTGATTTCGTGCAGCCATCTGTAAAAAGTTAGTTCTTGTAAATTGTAGTTAGCAACCAATTTTCGTAATGAAACAAAGCACGGACGATGGAACTTCTACCATGAGTTAGGTAAATAATGTACTATTTACTTGCCGTAGGTACCTACTAAACATATTGTTCACTAAAAAGGTCTGTAGTAAAAACGAGACCAGTGAATTGCGTTTTAATAACACTTAGTAGCTACCTAGTTACCTACCTAAAAATTACATACCTACCTATGTAATTTTTTTCAAGGGGGGAAAATCATCGATTGACTGCTCCCGCGTGAGGCGGGAGCTCCCTCCCGTCTCACGCGCTGTCAGACTCTTACTGACTAAAAACCATCCCGTTCCTTCTCTTGCGCTTCGAGCCGGAGCCCCGGTAACCCGTTAGGTTCTCCGCGATAGGTACAAAAACCCTACTGGAGGATTAGGAGGTAGAGGGTTCGTACCGTGCTTGATATTATTGATTTTTCAAAAATTATTGTTTGATACCTATTTAAAAATACATTTCCACCCATGATCTCTTATAAACTTTCTACTTATGTAGAAATGATCTAATTTCCTCTATCGCAAAACCAAATCAAAATGTCGGACAGGCTAAAAAGTCTAATCACTTTAAGTGTTGCGCAAAACTGCGATTAAAATAACTTTACAATCGATAAAACCCATTACATTTTCTATTGCTGTAAATATCATTATAACGGGTGAAATTGTAAACACAATCTAGTCACTTCACTATATGTGCCATCAAAACCTTTTAATCCTATTACAACTTCGTACCTACACTGCCTGTTAACAAATTTATTGTTGGTGTACCTATCCATTTAAGCTAGGTAAGCTTTATTTTCTTGCAATTTAGTTCAGTAGAACCGCGCTTAATGTCGCGTATAATGTGTATTTTCTGTTATATCACGGTCAAAATATTTTGTCACAGTGTAATTTAGTGACTTGCCGTGGCCACACGACAAAGCGGTAAATAGAATATTTTTTACAGAAATATTTAGTCAGTTCGTCAATCACTTCGAGCTCTATAATTTGAACTGTGATTAGCGTTATGTGTGGTGTCAGTGTATAATTACAAAAAGTGTCAAACTTACAACTGAAGGTTGGTGAATACAATAAATTATAATAAACTTGTTCATTAATTGTTACAATCACATTCTTTAGTTAAGTAAATAAATTCACTAATTAAACCGTAATCGTCACCCACGTTAACATCATATTGTTAAAAATTTAAATTAAAGCAAACTAGCGCAGTAGTTATCTAGCATCGTTGTAATAACAATGTTCGGAACAGTTCTGCCCTGAATAGTTTTACGGTTGATACTAACCTAGTATTTAAAATGCACATGTACAATGCAGTGGTTGCCGACGTCATCTACTTTGCAGTAATATTTTTGCCACTAATGCGCCTGCACGGTTCGTAAAGGAACGCCAGGATACACAAAAATGCAGTGTAATACGTGTTGCTTTCGTGATTGCGATAGAAATTCTTTGTTCAGTGAACTTATTAGTTTAGTGTTAATTAATTTATACCCTTTGATTACTTAGTGAAGAAATAATAATAATATTATGGTCAGTATGAGTTTAGTGAGCATTTAATAAAACAAAATAAATGAAAATAAATAATAAAAAATTGTCAATGAAATCTGAAACTAGTTTTCGAATATTAATCGATTGATTAGAATTGATTGCTCTAGTAGCAACAATACGCGGTGTCACGTTTAAATTGTCAACAATGTCAAAAATAGTGCTCGGTCGGTGTTTTGAAACATTATACGTCAGTAACATTTATTAAAAACAAAGTTTCTTTGTTTTAAAACTTAACCTTATTTGTTGCGTATTGTTTTGTGTTAGTTATGAACCGATAGGTATCATATTACTCATTAATCATGGGCTACTTGATTTCTTTTTTTAAATACATGTTGGAATATTTTAAGGTTAGTCGGCTACTACATTATTACATTAAAATATTCACAGATTTTGTATTATTAGAGTGTAAAGTAGTAATTTATTAGTTAAATTACAGTCTAATGGGTGTTGCGTGATTACTAGTAGTGGATACTGGCTGGATTTTACCATCCCTAATATTTTATTAAACTTTTTGTGCGATAGTTGTTTGTTTCAAAATAACTTTTTTGTTTTGTAGACTGTGCTTGAATCTGGGAGTGTGGGGAACGCGTCGTCGTCTGATGAAGAACTGGAGCAGTGGGAACAAATATTCATGATGAGAGATGAAAATGGAAATAGTTATAATGACAAGTAAGACTTCTAGCTTAACGTAATTAGTTTCATTAAAATAATACTCACTGGTTCGTTTAACTATGAACTAGGTTAGATTTTCAATAATCAAACATTTTATTATCAAAAAATAACTCTAATTTTAATTTGTAATACACATTCAATTCAAGTTACATAATTACATAAAGTAGTAATTAAATAAATAAAGTACATCATTATCACTATATTAATTAATAATAACATGAAAACAATGTTTTATTATTTTAATAACACAGATAACTTAGGAAATTGTATTCTTGATAACAATGAGTACTGAAGAAACAAATGATAAATGCAACATGCAAACATGGTATAATAAAAACATGGAATAATTAATGTATATTTTATTAGATTAAGGTAAATTGTATATTTTTCCTGTTAAGTTTTCCTCTATTGACTTTATCATATTATTTGATACTCCTGCATGGTTTCAGTCGCTGCTTGGGTCCTATTAACCCATTGCATGATTGACCCTCTACACAATGAACTCTATAAGACACTTGATCAATATCGAAGTTTATGTATGGAGCCGTGGAAGACTTAATGGGTTACCGGGGCTCCGGCTCTAAGAGCAGGAGTAGGAACTGGGTGGTTCTTAGTCAGTAAGAGTCTGACACTCCCTCCCACCTCACCCGGGCGGGAGAAGTCATTCGATGACTTTCCCCCTGAAAAAAAAAACTTGATGTTTATGAGCTGACCTTCTCGATAAATGAAATACTATCTAACACAAAAGAAATATTGAATTTCGAACCAGTATAATCTCGTTCAAACATATGTATGTATGTTATATGTATGTTATATCCTACATATACAAATCACACTGCTTTATACGTAATAACAAATTAAATCATTAATTAATTTTATCTAAGTGGCACTACGCTGCATATCTAAACTTAATTTTTGTTTCAGAAGAAAAAAAAGAAGTATATGGTGTCGTCCCTCATGCATCCCAGTGTCAATAGTTATAGTTTTAATAGTTTTGGTAGTGTTGGTACCACTGCTTGACCAACCTAACATAGTGCAGATGAACGCTACCATAGCTGCTGTTTCTTTACATTGCTCAGATGAGTGTAGGTAAGTGGACCAGTTCTGCTCTATGATAATTATGTTTTAGCTATGTTTCCAATTGTGGTTCTCTTTCATAACTTAGGCACATTTTTGAATAATTAAAGAAAAGTCGTTTAAAATCTGTTCTGTAGGTTTTTGAGTTTGTCATACAGCAGTTGAGGATTTTATTTTATGACATGTAAAGAAATGAATGTCAAATATGATTAAGTCATAATATGACTTTGTTTGCAATAACGGTAGGAGTAATATGTTCTTCCTTGTATCCATTTATGACGTTGTTAAGATACTACATAAAGCAAATAGTTTGATTGTCTGGGTTTTGTATAATTTGGCTTCCATTTAGAAAGAAATAATAAAAAAATCTAAGTACTTAAATGTGATTTACACTACATCAAGAAAGTAAATTCATTTCAAGCAATTTATTACAATACTAAACAAAATGTATATTCAAACAAATTTCAACCTTAACCCACAGAGTTACAAATCAATGTTGATAAATTTTAGATACCTTTCCTAATGCCACTTAATTATATTTTTTCCAACATAATGATAGAGCGAACAAGAGTGACTTTTAAGTATTGTGATTAATGGTGTTCTTTTTCAGGTTATCATTAGTTGAAAGTATACCAGAGGGTCATATGTACCCTCCAAATGTAACGCATTTACCTACGAAAAATGTGTGGTTAGACTTAATAGATGAAGCTCAAACGAAGATAGAAATAGCATCATTTTATTGGTCTCTTAGATATAATGAAGAATATCCTTACAACTCCTCTATAGAGGTTCGTAATATACATTCCATATTTGAAAAATAAAGAGAAAAGTCTTGACCTTTTTGAAGTTGTTTTAATCTTTTTTTTTGTTTTTAGGGTGAGCAAGTGTTCCAAGCTTTATATGCTGCCGGTTCAAAGAGAAATATAGATTTAAAAATTGCTCAAAATTGGCCTAGTAAACAGTTTCCTAATGTAGATACAGAATATTTAGTTAAGAAGAAAGCTGCACAGGTATGTAACATAAAATATTAATAATAGTAAAGTTAATTAAATTAAATGCTAATAACTATGAATTTACCATTTGTTCTCAGGTGCGGAGTTTAAACTTTTCAAAATTACTTGGGAATGGTATATTACACACCAAGTTCTGGATCATAGATAGAAAACACTTTTATATTGGCAGTGCCAACATGGACTGGAGGGCGCTGACACAGGTAAGCATTTAAACAGTAATTTTTATATCTTTCCAAGCTATGAGAATTTCACTACTAAAGTAGTTACCCAAAACAGGTGTTACTGGTGGCGTCGCCGATTGCTTACCATCAGATGATCATAAATCGCTCTTCTATTTTAAACCATTTTTTTCTTTATGTATATTTATACTTGAATAATATATTTTTAAATATTTAATAATAAAAAAAAACATTTAAAAATATAAAAAGCAGTAACCCACCAGTAACGGGCCTCCTCAGGGCTCCAGAGAGAGGAATTTTCAGACAATACGCGCCGTTTCCAGAAGTACTGCTTTCCGCATCAGGCCCTTGACTCAACCGTCTAACGCTAGCCTTCTGGTGTTGGTCGAGGCTTTTAGCAATGAGGCTATTGACGATACGACTATCGGCACAATTACTGCTGTATCCACATCCCACATATCGACAAACTCATGATCTAAATCCAGATATTTAAACCATTAATATTAAAAATGTAATAATTATTCTTCTTACTTTTTATCAACCATAAAATGTTTTGTTCAGGTCAAGGAGCTGGGTATAGTCGCGTTCAATTGTTCCTGTCTAGCAGACGACCTGGGGAAAGTCTTTGATGTAAGTATAAGTAAACATAATTATGTACTCGTGTACCTAAGTACCTACGTACAAACTTGTATAATATTTATGAATTTGTAAATGAAAAGTATAATATTCCGATAAGCGCAAAAATGTAAAAAGGTGCTTCGGTCGCTACCCTTCTTGTAGTCGGGGTAAGAAATTCTTAAACGTCTGACATTTCTGACAAAGAAAATTGAATGAATACCGTGTTAGGATTAAAATTAATTACCGTTTTGATATTTATCAGCTATTTTCGTCGGATAAATATAACAGTTCTGCTTAACTGAGCTCGCTGTACCCACGAAGCGAGAGGTTTTAATTAGCGCGACCCGCCAACGTGGCGTGTTAATATTTCATAGCTTAATATTTGTACCTTTGCTGTTTAAATATTAAAATTTGTCGTGTTTTCATGTTTCGAGAAATATTCGTTTTCGAATTCAGTGTTAGGTAGTTGTACTTAATGCTCGATTACAGACAAAAGCATCTGGCTTTTTGAGAGATGTTAATTGGGTATTACAAGTTTACAAACGCGTTAACTTCAACGGTCATTGATTCTCTAATAAATGTGATCGGCACTTGGTATGTGGAAAATGTTAGTTCTTTGTAGGATTACCTCGTTATTGATGCAGCAGACACTAGATCACCTTTCAATTGACATTTTACGCTCATAATTGAAGAGATACTGGTCAACGGCGCTCCTTCATAAAGCTGAACCTTTTTAACTGCTGTCTCCAACCAGCCTGCCTTTTGTAGAGATAGCAAACCCACCTTATGTAGAGATGGCCCCCTTTTGACAGGGGAAAATCATCCAATGGCTGGCCTTGAGCGCGGCGAGAGGAAATGTTACTCTTACTGACTAAAAACCACCCTGTTCCTATTCTTGCTCTTCGTGCCGTAGCCAATTAAGTCCTCCAGGGCTCCGTATCGGCATCAGCCGCAGAGAATATGTTCTCGGGTTAGCGGGGCTCCGGCTCGAAGAGCAGGAGTAGGAACGGGGTGGTTTTTTGTTAGTAAGAGTCTGACACTCCCTCCGGCCTCACCTAGGCGGGAGAAGCCATTCGATGAGTTTCCCCCATTAAAAAAAAGAAGCGCGTGCAAAACGAGACGCGCCGTTCGCTCAGAAGCGAAGACCCATAGTCCAGCAGTGGATTGTAATTAACGAGTTATTGATGTGAACCGTCACCTGTTTTGAAAGATATATCGAGAGCCAACAAATATATCGCACACAATATCACATAAATAGATACATACGGAAGTAAATAATGCCATTACTATCGTGAGTGACCGTGAAAGTGCAATATAACCCTCAGTTAGTGTCACTGCCAAGTGCGGTGACAGACCTTGTGTTGGTCGGCCGCCGTATATTTAGTGCACCTAATGCATGCTCCATTATTAAAATAATATACCTTCGTTTACCTTGTTTAATGCGATCGATATTACTTCTAATTAATTTATTTTTAGCTATATTTTGTCATTAAGTTTCCTTTTTTCTGTATTTGGTGGCTGGTAATGTGCTATTTGATGGTACCGTGTTTTTCCCTTTATATATTTCGTTGAACATTACCTAATATGATTTACTAAACTAAAAAGTGTTGGAAGTATATGAGATTTCACATCAATATAAGATCCGCCAATAATATCATTTTGATTCTGTACACACAAAGTCAAAGTTATTTTTAGTTAGGTACCTATACCTAGATAATTGAGTAAAGTCAAAGTTCATCATTTGTACACAATAGTAGGTATGTACCTAAATATACAATAACCAAGTGCAGATATGATACGAAATGACATCATAAGTACCTATTGGCAATACGTATTATAATTATAAATAGTACTATAGGTAAACAGCAATAGGGTATTGCTGTTTATAATACTGATATTCCATTGTCATATGATTATGATGAGATACAAATTGACAAAGTACACATTACAAATTGACTGCACGGTTGGTGCGGTGGCTGGGCAACCGGCTGCCATGCAACGTGTCGTTTGTCGGGTTCGATTCCTGCACGGAACAACACTTTGTGTGATCCACAAATTGTTGTTCCGGGTCTGGATGTCATGTGTATGTCAACTGGTATGTTTGTAAACGCACCCACGACACAGGAGAAAATACTAGTGTGGGGCAACGTTTAAAAAAAAATGTAAGTACAATAGAAAACTATAGCAGGTAGTTAATTTTTACTTACAAACGATCAGAAATATCTTCTTGAACTATCAAAATCAGTTTCCCTTTGAACAAACTAGTTATACAGACCGGGCTATCATGCAAAGTTTTAAGCAAGTGATTGTCAAAGTTGTCCGCTAAATGCCGGCTGGTACGGGCTAGCACGCGCAGTTACCGTCACAACTTTGTGTTAACACGTCAAACGACGAGCAATTGATGGACGGGCTGAAGTTTGTAAGGTCGTGGGAAGACCGACTTTTACTTAACAATTAAGATGGCTCGACATTGTTGCTTTATCTGGTTTAACTTTAAAAAACTTGTGTTGAACGATTTTGTTTAGCTTACAACTTAACTTACGAAGTTGTTTGCGTTCAGATTTGTTTGTTAACGGTTTAATTTTTGGTTACCATAAAATATTTATGTATTTTGGGATAAATATAGCCATTAACAAAAGTGCTTACCAAGACAGGGGCTCCGTTTTTTGGTTAATGGATGGCGCAAACACTGCAGCTATCAAATACTGCATATCCAATGGTGTGACTCTAGCTAATTTCTATTGTAGGAGAGCCATGCTTCGGCACGAACGGGCCGGCTCAACCGGAGTAATACAAAAGCCTTACAGAAAACCGAAGTGAAACGACGCTTGTGTTGTGTTTCGTAGTGTGAGTTATGTTACCGGAGGCCCGATTATCCCCCCATTCCCCAATCTTCCCTACCCTGAATGCCAATAATCCTCAAATTCATAATCCCCAAAAGGCCATAACGCACTTGTAACGCCTCCGGTGTTCCAGGGCGACGCCGATTGCTTACCATCAGATGATCCGTCTGCTCGTTTACCGGCTTATCCCATAAAATCCATAAAAACCCTATTGAACGAAAAACGAGAGGTACACAGCAGTGCCATTGGTCAGCAAAAATACGATAACGCCCATTACCAGTAATTTTTAATTACTTTTTATTTTTTTAGGTATACTGGAGCCTTGGTACACCAGACGCAGTGGTGCCCGACAGCTGGCCTGCAGAGCTCAACACAGACATCAATATGGAACATCCGATCAACATATCAGACGCTCAACATAGTTACGGCGCCTATATAACTGTAAGTACTTGCTTTGTTTTATTTTTAAGTTGTTTTTATTAATAAAAAGGTATAAATAAAAAGTTATCTTAATTAAAAAATAATAAAATTTTATTAGTTTAGAGTCAATAATATAGAGAAAAAGAGACATATGCCCGAATACTGAAACGTTACTCAATTTTAAGTCACGCTTAAGTGTAGTTCTGTCACCACTAATTCTTTGCGAAATGACGAGAGATAGCACAATATTTAAGCACGACTTAAAATTGAGTAACGTTTCAGTATTCCGGCATTAGTCTCCTGCACAAATTATGCCCAAATCGTCAAGGTCTAAATGTAGTTAGTGGAGATGGGTTAAAATTTAACGTATCTTGTATCAACTCTGGCTATAATCTATTTATCTGTATGTTAAATGCTGTAATGCGTTAAAGGGTGAAAGAGAAACCTTGCCGTGCCGTCCATCAATTCATATTTAGAATTACTCACATTTAAAATTTTAAAGAAAAATTTTCTTTGTTTTCTCGTTATGAGCAATAATATTTAATTATAGGTATACCTATTCTAAGAATTGACGCTCCAATGCTACTAATGAATACATTTGTTTGTAAATAAATTATAATGCTAAAGTTAATTATGGCGTTGCGTGATGTCAACCTTCAGCAAAATACAGTATTGTTTATGATTTCTACTTAATTTACTGATACCTAACCAGCGAAACGTTACACTACTGGAATATGATTATACGTTGAAAGTATGTGATGTTTGAGACATTACTACATACTTATTATAAAAATTCTATTATGTTTTACAATACCTACGTTAGGTTTGTACCCTACCTAACATTTAATGCCCCTATAAACGAAAGTTACGTATAAGCCATAAATAAATGTATCAGCGTTTCTTGTTTCATGTCATAATAATCCTGACAGCGCCATTAAGGACGAGGCGACGCCTATCACCAATAAAAGTGTATGTTGTAAAAGATCGTAATATTTTATCTGTCGTTAAAACTAGACGGAATGGCTTTGGATCGTTTTAAATTGGCAATATGGCGAGTGCTGTGGTCATTCCATTTAAGGCTTTTATGGCCACCATCCGGTGACCTTGATAGGTGGTTATGGAGGAAAGCACTGCTTCCTCTTGCATTCAGGTCGCAATGGATTGCGGGGCTTGGCAAATGGATCTTTTGTTTATACTTAACAACGATGATCGAGGTTACCATCACTTATACACGCGAAAAATATTTAGGCCAGCGGATTACATGACTGGTTGTCTGTTATCTAAATAGACTTGTTAAAGCTTACGCGCAAAAAATATAAAATTACAATAAATAATATTAACACGTTAACTACCGACCTGTGCGGTCGTCTACTAATTTTGCCAATAAATTAACGTCGTAATAATTTTAATTATAAAAATAACCAGTTGAAAGTCACATTGAAGTATGGCAACCAAGGAGTAACCTTGGTCGAGGCTGAGTCAACGCCAACGTATCGGTGGAAATCAGACCTTTAGTTTGTGTACCTAGACTACCTAGGTTACTAGGTACACATCGAGATGACCTATCCAGGTCGACACTAGGAATTGTCTAATGCATACATGTTTACATGACTTGGCGTTTGACATTTAAAGTTATGATCACTTGATTGTTATGCTGTGCGTTATTAGCAACATAACAAATTCTAATTATAACTTCATAGTGAAATAGCTAATTTTTAAATTAATTAATTCTTATCTAACTCGTTATCATAGTAACACATTAGCCGTTGCCCATTATTGGAAACACCATTGATTATGAAATAAGCAACGACATATAAGCTACACGCGAGTTATCGAGTACACGTTAAAATGTGTAGTGTAGCAGTTACCTTAGCATTTTTATATCTATGTGGAACTTTGATGTCACTTGTGTGTGTAATAGCATTGTGGACAACCTGGTGCATCTTACCGAAGTGGCGGACCCTTCACAACTACGTTATTGTGCAACACACCATTTTCGGAACATTGAACCTAATGTCTCTGGCTGTCCTTTACCCAGACGACCTTAATATATTAATATTGAGCTATGATATCTTCTTCCACGCGTCCATGAGTTGGTCGTTAGCCTCCTCACTCATCGCCTACTTCAAGCTAGTACTAGTTCACTCTGTAAAAATAAGCAATGAGAAGGCAATCATCACCGTGTTCGCTTTTGGATTGACCATAGTGTCTGAAACTATTTCTGGAGTAACCACGCAAATAGTTTACGATTTAAAACCGCGGGAAACTGCTCTTGTAGGACTTTTTCCCTTGTATTTAATATTAATGATTAAAACATTCTCGTTTATAAGTGTGATTGTATCAGTTATGTCATGTTGTAAACGAAGCATGTCTGGAAGGAAGTTTGGTCATGTGGTAGCGTTGGTAGGGGTAGCTTTAATATCTGATATTGGGACTATTGTATGGGTGTTTCTATTGCTATTCCTGGATTACAATATAATGGACGCCTGGTTCTACAACAGGTTGATTCCACAAGCATTGTTTGTTCTCTTTAATCCTTCGACTCGTGCACATTGGAAGAGGCTCTATAGTCGACGGAGGCGTATGAACCAAGTCGTGTAATTATTTCTCAAATAAAGTACCTACAAAATAGATATTGTGTAGTGTTATAAAATGTTTTAGTAATACCACAATATATAAATTCTTAGATAATTTAAAATAACTACCAGTCCATCGGTATAATATGCGCTTTAACATCGAGCAATGTTTAACTGTTTATTCAAGACTAGCTGTTTACAATTAAGCAATCAATGATACAGATAATGTAGAAACATACTACAGTTTACGAATCGCTTCGACGCACCAAATTATGTATTAAAATTTCACTATTCCGAGCTGTAACTTCAAAGGTGTGTGTATTACAGTGGCGAAGAACGAACACAATTTGAGTTCCTTAAGCAGGGTAAGTCCAACAGTATTGGAATGCGTGCTGTATAATTAGTGTGACGACTTAACGGCGCGTGTGTATAATAGGGCTGCCAATGGTTGATGTTTATCACGGTAGGCGTGTCGGACCGTATTGTTTGGCACTGGTATATGGATCGATAGTTGGTACCGGCTTTTTAAGGGTTCCGTGTCAGGTGCACTCTGTAATTGTACCCTAACCAGGATTTATATTGACAGACATGGCAATGGCATGCCCTACTAGATCTAAGATCTAACAGTCGATGGCATAATGATGAATCAAACTATTTACTCTATTTAGGTACTGTATCTTTCTTATTATTTAGGTACCTATTTCTCTATTATAATCGATTATCTTATTCGTATCAGCCACAAGACATCCACTGCTGCTCGAAATGACTTCCTGATTGGCTAGTGTGAAAGCGACTGCACCCAGCCAATTGTGAAATTCAATATACTCATGTATAGTTTACTATTCTGTTGCAGAGTTCCCCACCTCCACTGAGTCCTGTTGGCCGTACTAACGATGGCCAGGCCATCGTCTCCATCATAGAGTCGGCTGAAGAGTTCGTATACATCTCAGTAATGGATTACGAGCCTATGTGTGTATTCACGCACAAGCTTACGTAAGTATGACCAGATACACCTTTTTTAGGGGGGGAAATCATCCAATGACTTCTCCCGCTTTGGGGTAGGCGAGAGGGAGTGTCAGACTCTTACTGACTAAAAACCACCCTGTTCCTACTCCTGCTTTTCGAGCCGGAGCCCCGGTAACCCGTTAGACCTTCTGCGGCTCCTCCGTTTTGGGAGTTTGGGACCCAATATACACCTGTATTCAGTTTGAATTTGACAGTTAAGAACAACAGTGTCAAAAGTACCCTCAATAAGGGTGTATGTATGCATCAAGTGTTTGACAAATGTATGCCGAGATGTGCATGACGAGAGTCGGTATCTTATCCTATTATGTATGTCGCGGAGAACCTAACGGGTAACCGGGGCTCCGGCTCGACGTACAGGAGAAACAACGGAGTGGTTTTTAGTCAGTAAGAGTCTGACACTCCCTCCCGCCTCACCCAGGCGGCAGCAGCCATTCGATGATTTCCCCCCTTAAAAAAACCTATTATGTATATCAGTCTAATTCAATTAGAAACAGGGATGACGGTGATTAAAAATCGCAATATCAAGTTATGTAGAAAAAATATTACAAAGTATCTTTTTCTTTTAAGATTCTGGCCCGTCATTGACGATGCGATCCGAAAGGCCGCTCTCGAGAACAAAGTGAAGGTAAAACTGCTAATCAGCTGGTGGAAGCACTCCGCTCCTTCTGAAGACTACTTCTTGAGGTCACTGACCGACCTGTCGCAAGCGTACCCGAGAGTCGACATACAAGTGGTGAGTTTCATATTATTGGCTATTACTGATTCAAAAACATAAATAATCAGCAATGCACTTGTAAAGTTATTATTTCTATTTTAGTTCATATGCGGCGCTTCTCACTTATCACTAGGCTATGTGTGTGCTTGGTTATACCAGAAAAATACTGGACAAAAGATTGCAAACTTAACAACTATATACAATGTTATGATAACATGAGTGGGTTAGAGGAGGCCCATTATTAGTTCTGCAGTTTAAGAAAAACTAATTTCATAACCAATTTCTATTACAGAAACGCTTCGTAGTCCCTTCGACGCCAGAACAAGATAAGATCCCATACGCTCGCGTCAACCACAACAAATACATGGTGACAGACCGGACAGCTTACATCGGTACTTCTAACTGGTCCGGAGATTACTTCACGACTACTGCGGGCGTCGCCTTCGTGTTCCAAGACCAAGCTGATGGACTATCACAGAACATGACTAAAGACATAAGGAAAGATCTTCAAGAAGTCTTCGAAAGAGACTGGAACTCTCCATATGCAGTTCCACTCAGGCGATTATAGCGTATAATGTAGACTTTTTTAGTTAAATAAGTTTTTAAAATGGCATTGTAAGTGTCTTTCAAACTAAGAATGGGATATTTTATTATATCTAGCACGGTTCATGAAATAGCAATGTCGAGATATCAATTTTTTAAAATTTCTCAGTAATAGTCATGTGAGGAGTATAGATTCCTTGTTCTTATTACAACTGATGATAAGTTTGTGTCACATTCACTACGTGTACACATTGTAGACGCTGTTTATCTATTCGAGGATTAACAGATGTGTTCACAGAAGAATTCCAAATTAAAAAGTATCCTGTTCTTAGTTGTTATGATAGCAAACGTCTTATGTCAATATCTTCCTTCTTGTTGAAAGTTTTGCCACGTGTGAGTACTAAGTTTGTGTGTGAATTTGATTCGGGACTACTCGTACTTATAAGGGTTACCGGTATTATTGTTTGTGATATTATTACCTGTATATTAAGCCAATATTTTATTAGATATTAACTTGTATATTAGGCATTCAAAAAACTTGTTTATTAGATTTTTAAATCTGTAAGTTCACCTTGTTATAATCTTTATTCATAGACTTATCAAATTGGTTTTTCTTATTTCCAAAATTGTAGTGACCATTTAGAATGGATTAGGTATCTAATACTTAATAATATTATGTAATCAATTGTAAGATTGTGCATCGAGTATTAATAAATTTAATGAATTTTGAACTCTGTATGACTGTGCCTTAGATTGAAGATTGAGTATATGAATTCTTCGCGAGTGTCTAAGTAGATTTTTATATCTTTTTAGATTTACAAATAAATGTAAGATTAGGGGCGGATCTATTTATATAAACATTAGACTACTATTAGCTGAGGTGTAGTTCTTTCTCATTGAATACGTTGAAAGAAAATCTCTAAATCAGACCCAAGAATAGATGTAACCTTTATACGTTGCTTTTAATTTAGCACAAAATACGCAAACGTTTATAGTTCCGCCCCTACGTAAGATAGTGTTTGTCTTTTTAAAGTGTAGGTGAAAGTATTGTGAACTCTTTTCAAGTAGATTTATTTTTTGTTGCTACAATATTTAAATTGTAACTCCATAATAAATAAGTAGACTATGAAAATACATACCGGTGTTTACATAATTATAAATATCGCCAAATAAATGTATTACGATTCAGTTAATAGTAAACTGTATGTGTAGAAGTATCCTATATTGTATGCAATATAAATAATAATCCCGGTCACGACCCGTTTCCACTGGATTGTACCACTGTTTACCCCTCCACACACCATGGCATATAAACCGAGGTTATTGATAAAATTAAAATATTTACAAATAATAATGTTTTTTATTTACATTATTAATTTACTCACTACAAAGTCAGAACCTAATAATTATAATACTATCTATTTATTTATTGCACACACACATATTACAATTGTCATTACAGACTAAGTCTAATGCGATAAAGTAATTTGACATACTATCCATACTTTCCATAGCAAAAAAAAATAAGTATTCTAACTAGGTACTATATCGTATCTACATCTTACAAACTATGTAGTACGTAACCTTAGTGAACTCACTCAGCGTACAGGTGAATATGTCTATATTATCTGCCACTGTGTTGAGAGTGCGCAGCGCGCGATCGAGGAGGTTAGTGCGCGCGCGCGGCACCACAAATAGTCGCGGCCGGCGCCTCCGCGCCATGTACTCATCCGGTACACAAAACCCTAATTCTGCCAGTATCCCAGTGTTCTATACTACCTCTTAAAATTTTAAAGAGGTACACGGTTAGCTCCACTTCTCTCCTAGCTTCTAAATTATAGTATCCTACCATACCCAGACAGAATAAGGTAAGATATAACAACGGGTAACCCGGATATACTCCATACAACTTTAGATATAGAAATCGAATGAATTTGTTTTGAATGTTTATAGTTTCCTCTAATCAATCAGTTGCTACAAAATATTTTTACCGAGATACCAGAGGCCTTAGTACGAATTTGTTTCACAATTATACTTGCTTCCAATAATAGGTATGCAAAAGCACCCAAACGCACGGAAATTTGTTCTAGATTCCACAAGGTCCGTATAATAACCACGACGTGTAAGTTATCGAAACGACACCGCGTCGGTGCTGATTAGTTGGTTCATTGAAGCCAGCCAATCAGAGCGCCGAACACGTACTCGTTTCTATTACCTATTTTAATCATAAAACAAACTAGTACTAAGCCCTCTGGACTTAATACCATTGTAAGAAGTAAATATATGGTAGTGAGTAGGAAATATTCTAAAAGACGTTTCTAATAGCTCAAATAGGCTCACCCCCTATAACATGGGACTCATAACATAAATAGTGAAAAGTGGGTGTTACATTGTACAGTGGCATAATGTGCACCTCTGCCTATCCCTTCGGGGATAAAAGGCGTGGTGTTATGTATGTACGTTTCTAATACGCAGTACGAAACGTAGTAGGTAGTTATTCTCTAGTTATTCTACAGTAGCATCCACAGTAAAATTTTTGAAACAGAAATTACTAAATTTTTTTGGAAATATTCTTGACGAGTACCATTCATTCATTATAGTAGGATGAATTTTTTACTCCTTTTGCACTATGCTTTCTTGGTACATTTTTATTGAAACTCCATAATGGATAGGAACTATTGTCAAATTACATTAGTTTTCCAATTATTTATGATATTTGATCCGAAGTACACTGCACTACCACCACCTCCATAATAAGGATTTAATTTAAATGAAACAAACAAACACGTTTAAAGAACTTTAATTAAATACTAACTTTATTTTAAAATCTTAACATTACTGAATACTTAAAAAGTAAATTGACAGTACTCAGTGATGCTTAGAAAAAAAATATATTATTTTATAAAAACATGAGAATCCAGAAAGCACTGCATTGACATTGTTGCTGAAAGTCAGTACAAAAATAGAAATTTTAATCAATGCAATTGTTTTCTGACATTTTGTACAGTTAAAGTCTCCGTACTTAAATCTAATATAGATGAAAACCATGTCAACAATGTGTCTATAAAATAAATGTAACTAATAACCTTACAAATCAATTAATTCCGAAATTATTATCAAAATAAACTAAAAGTAAATCAAATCCAATCAATTCTTCCATCATATATCATGTTCTAACAATAAACATAACTTGTTAATTTCATGTCCTCTAGTTGTAGAAACAACAGGTTTTAGTTCCACATATAAACTAATCGAAACGAGATCGCGATCAGCGCTATGATTGGCTGGTTCCAATGCACCAACCAATCAGAGCGCCGAACGCGGTCCCGTTTCTGTCAGAACCGTTTAACGTTCATCCGAAAACCTGAAATCTATTCATAACATACAATTTGCAAATTTTTACATCGTTGTCCCCATAAATGGAGTAAAGAGCACAACCAGCATACCAAAAATTGTGTACTCAAGTTAAATACATTAACATACAGATATACACATTAATACTCCAAAGGACGACGAATTTAAACTGTCAAACACCAAGCGGTCACCGGTGACCGCAACCTATTGTTCTTTAATTGTGTCTATAATGACGGTACTCAAAGGGTTAACATATAATAAGTAATCAAATAATCATCATACACACACATTCAACTAGCCATCGTCAAAGACATTCCCTACGCGCGGAACAAATATGTATCGTTATGCTTCGAGCAGACAGTATTGTCTATATCTTCAATGCAAATGAAGTTCAACCGTATTGTGTAAGTATTAGAGTTTATAACCCTACGCATGTGTAGCGCTGTCCTCGACGAAGTCTCGAGCCTCGTCCTGTGTGACGCACTCAACGTGGGACACTTTGTTCCGGAACTTGACTCCGTAGAATTTGTGCGCGTGCTCCAGTAGTTCAGGTCGGAAAGTAGTCGTGATGAACTGAGCTGATGTTGATAATTCGTGGATCATGTTGGCTATAGCTTTACGGTGCTGTGCGTCTAGCGCCTGGAATTGTAGAAACAAAATCTTAGTGACTTTATCAATAGTATTTGTATGTAATCCATTGAGGCAATAAATGAGAACTGAACTCAATGTCAATGTCAATACAAGGCGATAAATTGTTGAGATTCATAGTGTGGAATTTTGGCAAACATCGATCTTAATCCACAGATTTTAGATTAAGATAAGTTATTAATGTTTGCCGTTAGTTCTAACCACACTATCAACCATGTACGCTACCGCTGATATGGTCAATGAAAAATAAGCCCTACACCAATACGCGTTAAGTTCAAAATATGAAGATTTCTGAAAGGACCAATATAAATCCTACAGATACATTATTACACTGAATTTTTACATAGTACAATATGGTTGCGCACATATGTATACAAAATACAAAAATCCGAGTAACGAACTCACCTGATCGATTTCGTCGAACAAGTAGAAGGGCGCAGGGTCACACTTCTGTATAGCGAAGATAAGAGCTAACGCGACGAGCGATTTCTGTCCACCGGACAGTTGGTTCATCTCTCGCATGTCACCCTCTCCGCCAGTGAACGATACTTTGATACCCACACCCGTAAATGGATCTGCTTTTGCACGCTGAAACAGGAAAAATAATAGTTAGTTAAAGTATGTTAATATTTACATTACAGCCAATGATAGACCAGTATTGGAATATTGGTGTATTCGACATAAGAGGGTTTATCATAATACCGCATGGTAGGTCGTTTGGAGATAGTACTTTAAAAGATTCAGTTTCATCAATTTCATGTGTATTCCCTTAGTACATATAAATAGTTGCGAATTGAGGACTACGGGCAACATTTGTAACATTTATTTGTTTAGTATAGAAATAATACAATGCGAAAGCGAAGCCCAAATCAACCAATCAATGTCGTATTTAATAGTAAGTGGTGGTAAATTATGGTTTCAAATGTGACTCATTTTTATATAACCAAACATCCTTAGAAATACGTATAAGTTCACACAATAACAGTCCTTCCGTAAAACGGGGCGAATAAGTTTCTAGAGTTGAATACATGTACAAAATAGATACTAGAGCCATTTTTCAAAATCTATGTATAATAAAATTTATTACCGATAATCGTTTCATATTGAAAACGAAAGCAGAAAAGTAACGTATTTGCGAATTACCGTGCTATTTCGACATGTTTTCAATAATGTACTATTAGTAAATAATACCCATGTTTCCATAACGTAGTAACAGGGTATTTTAATTGGGTGGTTATCAACATTACGTGCGGTTTAACAGTAATTTAAACTCACAATAGACATTGCACAAGTTTAGCTCCGGTCTAATGGTCTTTGATTTATATTTAATTTGACACTAATATTACACTCGAATAATATATAATATTAATTACATGAAAATAACACGATACGGTCAATAAGATGAGAACTTAAAAGGCAATTTGCATTTTAATATAAACTGCTTAACGGGGTACATTTTAGGGCGGAGCTGGGGATGACCCTAACGGGTTGCCGGAACTCCGGCCCAAAGCAGGAGCAGGAACGGGGTGGTGTTTAGTCAGTAAGAGTCTGACAGAAGACATTGGACCCCCCCCCCCTCCTCCTCAAAAAGGATAATTGACTTACCTCAGAACTAGCCTCCTGTCCATCATCTGTATTAACCCTCATGATGAGACTGCCCCTGCCTTGAGGCACCAGTTTCTTGAACACCTCAGTGAAGTTCTTACACACTTGCTTGAACGTGAACTGTATAGCTTCTAACTTTCTATGTTCTAATGTCTCTATGAGCTCACGGATTTTCTCGCCTCTGTAAACAATATAGATTTTTTAAACAATTATTGCAACACTAGGATTTCCTCCTGTATCGTGGGTGCGTTTATTAAATTTATTCTGTGTGAAAACTGAACTGATGAACGGGTTCCGCAACCACTGCGCCAACCGTACAGGCTGATCATTACTAGCTAATCATGCCAGTACTGATCAAATAATAGTTAAGCCTTTGACTGCCGACAGAAAACCGCTGAAGGCAAATCCTCCGCCAACGTCGGTCACCGGTGACCTACGCGGCGGTGAACGTGTTAATACTATTATTTGGTTGATTGACCACAAGTTCTAGTATCGCATGAAGCCTCAATACGATGTGAGGATCGAACTATTGTATTATCAGTTTACTCTATAAGTCAGATGACATAGATATGCTATAAAAGAAACGTAAATAATAGAAATTAAAGTTATTCTTAGGTACAGATTAAATCAGTTCTATTTTATAGTGTGTTAGGAGTTCAAGTGCAAACATTGGATGAATTAATATAACAAAACTAAGGTAATGGTCACTAATGGCTATATTAGCTGTCGGTAAGTATTGATACGAGTAATTGTTTGAGAAGTTCTACGCAGAGAAAGTATTCAGACAGATGTTACTATTTGTACAGTGCATTATGGGCATATTACACTGCATTAAAATGTAATAAAATCGCAAGTATAAAAGTCAATACGTGAGTAATTTTCCACATGAATTTAGTTTAGTTTTGCATACATACAGTTTGATAACACATTCAGTGTATTGTTTGTTGTTGTTTAACGACTACACAAGTTTTACTTTCCATTTCAAATTAACGGCTTTTGACAAGTTTTTGTGAACGATTTTTCGAGAGCAGGCGTTGGAACCTAATAGTCAATTAACAGAGTAGCCTCGAACCACCAATCTAAATAAAACTGTGTCAAGATTATAGGCAATTAACAATGGGGTGAAGTTTAACAACAGGTGTAGAACAATGATGATATATATATAGGAGATCGCATTGTTTCACGTACAGACGAGTCGCAATCGGCGCGGAATTATAAAATGTACATTTACTTATTATTACTAGTCTGCAAAGTATCAAACGCCAACTTGGTAGAGGATAGAGGCTTGTGGAGTTTACTAGGGAGTATTGTGAATTTTTCCCATAGTAAATTCGTTCCAGAGGACGCGAACCTTTCCATCACTGAACTGGGGAAAAAATACGGTTATCATGTGGAAACGCATTTAGCGATTACCGAAGATGGATACATCTTAAATTTTCATAGAATACCCACGCGGAATGGAAGAGTTGGGGCTGCGGTGTTCCTAATGCATGGCATACTGGAAAGTTCAGACACGTGGATGTTACTGGGACCGAACAAGGCGCTCGCGTACTTATTAGCAGATCACGGTTTTGATGTTTGGCTGGGCAACAGCAGAGGAAATAAGTACTGCGAAAAGCACGTCACGTTAAACAATACCTTGTCAGAATTCTGGCATTTCTCTTGGGAAGAGATCGCTGTGAAGGATTTGCCTGCTATGATCGACTACATCCTCCATAAAACTGGATTGACGAGCTTGTACTACGTGGGACATTCCCAAGGAACTACAACGGGCTACGTGTTGTGTGCTATGAAGCCAGAATACAATGACAAGATCAACATAATGTTCTCGCTGGCCCCGGAGGCGTGGATGGGCCACCTCAGAAGTCCTATAGTGAAAATGTTTTCGCCCGCTCACAATTTACTCGCGTACCTACTTTCGGACTTCAACGCTTATTACGCAGGGGTGGACTTCTTCAATAAAATATCAACATTCGTGTGTACAATCGCGCCCGCAAGATGTGACAATATATTGTTTGCGTTGTCGGGATACGAGACTAAAATAAACGATACATTTTTATCGGTTATACTAGGTCATTCTCCTTCTGGTACATCGACGTTTCAATTCGCCCACTATGGACAATTGATAGAATCACAGCGGTTCTGCCGGTATGACTTTGGTAAAGAACGTAATTTGATGAAGTATAACCAGAGTAGGCCTCCCGATTATGACCTAAGTCAAGTGACAACGCCAGTGGTGCTTTTTTACAGTGACAAAGACTTGTTATCGGACCCAAAAGACGTAAATATATTGAGAAAGCACCTTAAAAATGTACAGGAAAGTATTTTTGTTGAAGATTTTACGCATTTAGACTATGTTTACGCTGAAGAAGCGGCTAATGTTGTCTATAGTAAGATCGTAGGACGTATTATAAGTGACGAAGAGAAGCGCGCTAAGAAGCATAGCTACATAATCACGCCGCGACACCCTGACACGCCGACCGAGGGTAGTTCTAATAGCAGCAGTAACAGTAATAGTACTGTGGATAATACAACCTAACAACACAACAGTGAATTTGACTAATGGAATAAACAATACCTAATTTATTGTGTTTTTATTAACATTTAGCACATGCATTTCAAGTAGCAATCATTAGAATTGGGTAGCGATAATTGCAGCAGCTCAGAGCTCAGTGGCGTGCCATTGGAGAGGCCTATGTCCAGCAGTGGACGAAAACAGGCTGTTGATGATGATGAATTGTAGCAGCTAAGCATTTATGATAATTTACATAACATCACGCCGTTTATCCCCGAAGGGGTAGGCAGAAGTGCACATTATGGCATTTAATGCCACTATACAATGTAACACCCATTTTTCGTAATTTATTTTATGAGACCCATGTAATAGAGAGTGAGCATTGCCATATACCGGGCACAATTCCAGACTTCGTGCTACCACTGAGAATTTTTTTAAAACCCAGTTGTACTTTGCCCGACATGGGAATCGAACCCAAGCCACTCGGCCAACGAGGCATTTATGATAATTAATCATGCAAAATAAATATGACTATACAATTTCAGCTCAATCAGTTAGAGATATTTACTTGAAAATCTAGCTGTAAGATTCCGCTTCACAAACAAACATACATACCTACATACAAACATAGGTACATTTTTTTAAGGGGGGAAAATCATCGATTGACTGTTCTCGCCTGGGTGAGGCGGGAGGGAGTGTCAGACTCTTACTGACTAAAAACCACCCCGTTCCTTCTCCTGCACGTCGAGCCGGAGCCCCGGTTACCCGTTAGGTTCTCCGCGACTACATACAAACATAGGTACATTGCAGGTTAAATAAAACCGCGGAAAAAGTAAACCAAACTCACCCTATATCCAATTCCTCTTTCCTCTTGTAAAGTTTCTCTTTTTGTTCCGAGAAGCTAATGAACTGGTCCAACGCCTTCTTGTTGACATGGTTGTACTTCTTCAGGTGCTGGTTCGCCTTCTCAAGCTCTTTGAACAGCTGCAAATATATGATAAAAACGTTATAAAATTAGTTCCAATCTTGTGGGTAAATAAGTACTGTTTTGAACCCTTTGGGGTCGAAGCACTTGGATCATGGAATCAAGTGCGTATTCTGTTTTTAAAGAAATTGCCTGAGGGCTAATCGACTTTACATGTGATCAGACGGCTGGCTATTTCTTCGGACAGAAAATAAGCATTGTCATACAACGTGGATAGGAGTAGCTGCTCGTAACATCACGCCTTTTATCCCCGATGGGGTAGGCAGAGGTGCACATTACGGCACTTAATGCCACTATACAATGTAACACGCACTTTTCACTATTTATGTTATGTATATATGTATGCTATGTAATAGAGTGTGAGCCTATTGCCATAAACCGGGCCCATTTCCCGACTCCGTGCTACTACTGAGAATTTTTTAAAATCCCAGTGATACTTTGCCTGACCCGGGAATCGAACCCGAGACCCAGCAGTCGCACTTTCGACCACTCGGCCAACGAGGCAGTCATCATATTCAACCTACTTCAAGGTTCAACCTACTTAGAGAGAAATCTTCTAAAATTCACATGAGTGAAGCCACTAACACAAAGCTAGTCTAAAATATAACTAGCGACCCGCCCCGGCTTCGAACGAGTGCAAAATGCATGTATTGTACATATAAACCTTCCGTAAGAATCACTATATCTATTCAAAAAACCGTATCAAAATCCGTTGCGTAGTTTTAAAGATCTAAGCATACATAGGGACAGACAGACGGCGGATAGCGACTTTGTTTAATACTATGTAGTTGATTCATTTATTCCTGTCATACAATAGAGCGCAAAATAAACAATAGGTTATATAATATAGAAATAAATCCAAGCAATTTGTTTCGTGTATACAAACAAGCATTGGTCGAAGGACACGATAATAAAATAATCGTACGATTACTTCACAGTTCACACATGAATTTAATCTATACGGATAAATAAAATTGGTGTATCTGTGTGTAATATTAAAATAACCGCTTTTTACTACTTGCGGTATGCAAGTAGTAAAAAGATTACAATTTTTGTCTGTCTGTCTGTTTGTACTGGCTAATCTCTGAAATGGCTGGACCGATTTTGCAAGACATTTAGCAAGTAGCTGATGTACTAAGGAGTAACATAGACTACTTTTATTTTGCAAATTGAAACAAAACAAAAGTTATGTTTTAAAATTCATATTCTACGCGGACGAAGTCGCGGGCAACAGCTAGTAAACTATAAAAATAACTTATCATTGATTTGTTGTTTTTTTTTTATGGAATAGGAGGCAAACGAGCAGACGGATCACCTGATGGTAAGCGATTAGCGCCGCCCATGGACACCCGCAACACCAGAGAACTCACAGGTGCGTTGAAGGCCTTTTAAAAAGGAATACGCTCTTTTCTTGAAGGATTGAAGGTCGTATCGGTTCGGAAATACCGCCGACGACAGATCATTCCACAGTTTTGCTGTGCGAGGCAGGAACCTACGTGAGAAGCGCACAGTTGTGGCCTGCCAACCATCTATGTGGTGGGGATGCATATGCTGATTGTAACTGAGAATGCGCAGAATTCGAATACCAAAAGCGCGAAACTTCATTTAGTTTCCGATTTTAAAACTAAGACAACTGTACATAGATTTCTAGTTAATTTGTTTAGGGCAGATTTTTTAAATGCAAGAATTATTTTTACTAAGGAATAACTTTGAATATTTAACAATTCTTCCTTTAAAAACTGTCAAACGTCAATTTTATTTTACAGTTAATACGTTGATATATCGTACCGAAAATCCCTAGTTAAAATTGTTCATACAAAAGTAGTCTCTAAACATCGGAAATAAGGTCTAAAATGGAGTTAGTGAAGAGCGGTCACCGTTAACCGCTTGGGGATAGAACAGTTAAGAATTTACTGATGATTGGAAAAACCCTTAATGGCCTAAACTAGTACTTTATTCAGTAAAATCTTGCGTATAAAATAAATATTTGTCTTACCTGCTTCAGTGACATTTTCTGATACTTGGCGTGTAGCTCGGGTGCATTGGGCAATGTTCCTAAAGCTGCGATCTTGTCGAGAGATTCCTGTATTTTCTCTTGTAGCAACACTTCTTTAGATGCCATCTTCTCTAAGCCTTTCGCGTCTTCCTCCATTTTGTCTTGAGCTTCTTTTTCCTATTAACGGAATTAAATGTACTATTAGGAGTAAATTAAAGGAATAATATCTTAACCCATAAGGGTACCCATAAGGGTTTATTTAAGCTAGATTAAGTTTATTTAGAAGTTCAAGTACTCGTATTTCCAATCTTAAATTCGTAAGTATTTGTACGACAGTCGACAACTGAGGGCAAAGCACGAATAACTATCGCACTCGTATCGTAACAGTATCGAGCGATGATTGGTTGGTTCACTTGAGCCGGCCAATCAGAGCGCCGAACGCGCTCGATACTATTACGTTACGAATGCGATAGTTATTCGTGCTAGGCACTCAGAGGGCCGATCGAAACGTTACCGCGTATAGCAGTCTGATTGGTTGGCTTTTTGGAGCTGAGAGAAAAAAGAAATCAATCGCGGTAAGGAAAACCGATTCTGAAAACGAAGCTACCCATCGGAGGTGCTGAGGAGTGAATGGATACAACACGTAACTAACTTCAACCAGTATTTTCATTAGTCCGATTATACAGCTACAACTAAAGCACGAACCCTATGTACTAAAAACAATTCATTTGCAAAAATCACTCTTACAGCTAACAAAATAAAGTCCTACCTTATTCCTCCATTTATCGAGCTCCAATTTCAAGGCTTTTTCATTCTTGACGGCGGCCTGGACCTTTCTTTCGACTTCTTCTAGTTCTTTGTTGATCTGTTTGATACGTTTCTCAGTGGCGGCGAGATCTGCCTTGCTGTTTGCCAGTCTGCGCTTGCGGTCTTCTACTGATATTTCTTGTAGGGCCTGTACTAACTCGTCTTTACGTCTGTAACAAATTAAAGATGTATGTAATACCTAATCTGTAATTTTATGTAACACTAGCTACTTCCGCGCGGTTTCACATGCTCTGCTCAGCTCCTATTGGTCGTAGCGTGATGTTTTATAGCCTATAGCCATCCTCGATAAATGCGCTATCCAACACAAAAAGAATTATTCAAATAAGACTTGTAGTTACGGAGATTAGCGCGTTCGAACAAACAAACAATCAAAAAAAACAAACTCTTCCTCTTTATACATAATTATAATAGTATAAGATTTATAGTTACGTCCTTAATTATCTTTTAACTAAAAATCCCGGGTTACTCACGTGAATATACTGAGAAAAGCTAGTTTCGAACCAAAGAGGGGTTCCTCCTCAAGAGCAGCGTCCGCGATCGGGGCGATGTCGCGCAGCCAACTTTACGTGAGTAACTCGTGATTTTTAGTTAATTTAGTATGCCTTACGATAGTTATTAAAAATTTATAGAATTTTATTGATAGTAACAACACAAATGAAAAGATTTTTGTTTGAAAATCTAAGCATCAAGGGCACGTCATACAAACTTTCTGACAGCTTAACACCTGGAATTTTATTCCCGGAAGGCACGAATAGTAGTACTTACGTACTTATGTTACTGTATTAGAAGGGGAGATGTGGGATATATATCACCACGCCTTTTATCTCCGAAGGGGTACGCAGAGGTGTACATTATAGCACTGAATGTCACTGTACTTTTCACTATTTATGTTATAAGTCACATTGCAAATAGGGGTTGCACCTATTGCCATATACCGGGTACAATTCTAGACTCTGTGCTACAACTGAGAAGTATTTCAAAACGCAGTAATACTTTGCCCGACCCCGGAACAGACCTCGAGGCAGTCAGCAGGAAGATGTGAGAAATCTACGTATAATCTGTTTTCTTACCGAATCAAGTTATTAGTGAGTAAGTTTTCGAGTTTATTCTTAGTGGCTTCCAAGTTCATCCTAGCGCTGAAGGCCTCCTTGTTCTCCTGCGTGAGACGTCGGATCGCGTCGTTCAGCTCGTCCACCTTGCCTTGGTCCGCCGTCGATAGCTGCTCCATAAGTTCCTGTTACAAAAAAATCATATTCTACGATAAAAATTGTTTGGTTTTAGCGAAATAACATCATTTGTATATCAATTAATCGGATCAAAGTAAGATACATCGGGTTATCAATGGTTTTATGTATTCTATATACATGTAAGATAGTTATAAAACCGTTGCACGTATGAATTAACCTCTTGTCTGTCGAAACACAGATCAAAACAACAAACTTATTAATGGAAAATTAAACAATTAACAGAGAAGAGAAAAATCCTTACTTCCTTACTTATATTATAAATCGGAAAGTGAGTTTGTTTGTTTGTTTGTTCCGCCTTCACGCCGTAAATTTTGCAGACGTAAAGTTAGAAGTCTGGATTAAATAATAGGGTACTTTTTATCCCGGAAAAAAATTGATATTTCCTAGGAAAAACAAAAATATTGGTATAGATGGCGCTGTATGTACTGGTATAGATGGCGTTGTATGTCATTTAAAACCAGTCATTGGACCAGTCATTCAACCTACTTATTGGAAAAATCTAAATAGCGCGATATAACCGAATTCCACGCGAGCGGAAAGCTATTTGTTTGTTTGCCTGTCTTAAACGGCAGAACGGAGGTACTAATTAACGTGATTTTTTAACTGAAGGTAGTTGAACGGATGGATAGTCACATAGGTTACTTTTTATCCTTTTGTGGCGCGAGCGAAGCCGCGGGTAAAAGCTAGTCTATAATAAAAGCAAAATATAAAATCCATATTAATTTTAAATATTCTATTTCTAATTACTCAAATTCAAATTCAAATTCAAATTCAAATTCATTTAATCGTTTGCAAATATGGGTACATAATATAGGTATTAACAAAATATACAGTTTCTCCATATTTTGCCATCACTTGGCATGCAAAGATATGTTATAAAAAATTTATATAATAAAATTAGGTACATTAAGTTTAATTAATTGTAGTTTTGTTAAATTGAATACAGTATGTCAAATAAATTAAAATTATTAATACCATTGAGTCAAAAATGTAATGTCAAATTAAATATTATGTAAAAAGGTAATCATCAATTATCAATGTCACACAAGCAATGTTAAACAAATTAAGTTTATTATAATTGACCGTCATACACGCAGCCACAACAAGCCCAAGAACCATCATGTCCATTCCGTCTTTAGTCAATTACATATATGAAATGTGCATGTTAATTAATAAAATTAATATGTCAATAAAAGCTAAAAACAAGAGTGAATACAATTCATATGTCTTTAATATAAAATGTCAAATATATAATATTAATAATAATATTGAAAAATAAAATGTGTCATATAGTTAGTAGTCTATGTGATCCTGTAGAAAATCCCTAATGCTATAATAGGCCTTATTGGTGAGAAAATCCTTCAATTTATTTTTGAATTATTTGTGTTGTATTCTTTCCAGAGCTTAGGAATTTTATTATAAATTTTTGGGCCCATGCAATATATACTGTTATTCATTAAGCTAGTTTTTGAATAAATTAATCTAATTTTGCTATTATCTCGTCTATTACGGACAACCGTATCACTTAGACGTGGAAATAGGGTTAGGTTGCTCTTAATAAACATTGCGCTTTCTAAAATATAAAGAGAGGGTACAGTCAATATTTTATTTTATGAAAAAATGCTTGCAGCTGTCCGTGACCTTTACTTAAACATGGTTTCAAGCAACGCTTTTGGGCTTTGAATACTAATTCTTTATTAGTGGAATTCCCCCAAAATATAATGCCGTATCTTAGATTGGATGAAACTAAACCATGGTATGCTGTAAGGAGGGCGTCAATGTTGAGCACTGGAACTAATTTATAAATTGCATAGCAAGATTTACTTATTTTTTTTTTTTTTTTTTCTGTGTGTGCTTTCCAATTTAGTTTCTTGTCAATGATTACACCCAAGAATTTCGCGTTGTCAACTTCATTAATTATTTTATTATTGTAGTGTATATTTAGGTTAGACATGGTAGATCCTCTCTGTGTAAAGTGCATGATATTCGTTTTTTCCAAATTGATTTTTAAATTATTGTTTTCTAACCATTGTATAACAGACATTAGCGAATTATTAATGTTATCGCTATAGGTATCTCGACTTTTACATGGTATAGTTATGGTACTATCATCGGCGAATAAAGTTACGTATTGGTTGATGCTTTTGGGTAGATCATTGATATAAATGATAAATAGTAAAGGACCTAAAACACTGCCTTGGGGTACACCGTATCTGATAACACGCCAAGATGATCTATAAATTTCTTCTTGTTTTGTGTGTGTATTTATCGACTTTATTTCTGTGCACTGTTGTCTGTTCCTAATGTACGATTCTATAAGACGCAATACGTTACCTCGGATACCATATGCTTCCAATTTTTTAATCAAAGTGTTATGACAGACATAGTCAATGCTTGTGTCATATCGCAAAATATGGTGCTTACAGGAGTGGTTTTATCAACATTTGTTATTACTGTAGACACAAAGTCATAAATAGCCATATTTGTTGTTTTATTAGAACGAAAACCTTTTTGTTCTGTAGTAAGTATATTATTTTTCTCAAGATAGTTGTATAAATGTCTATATATGTGTTTTTCAAATATTTTAGATATTACACTTATAAGGGAGATAGGTCGGTAGAATTGCATAAGTTCCCTGTTCTCCTTTTTGAATAGAGGTTTCACTATCGATATTTTAAGTGCTTCCGGAAAAGTGCCAGCATCTATGCTTAGGTTTATAATGTAGGACAAATGTGTACAAATTTCGCTGGCTACAGCTTTTATGACCTTTGTTGAAATACCGTCATATCCCTCACTATGAGTATTTTTCAATGTGTTTATTATCTTATGTATTTCAACAGGTACACAGGGAGCCAAATAGAAAGAATTGAGTCTGTTATCTATTAGGGATGTTACATTTTCACACGAATTATTAATAGGTGTTATTTTTTCTATAAAATATTTATTAAATGCGTTTGCTATGTCTCGAGGTTTCGTGATCATGTTCTCTTCAATTTGAATTTTTCTTATTATGTCCCTAGTGTATTAAGTTTAGAGTCATTAATTATTCCCACGTGGCTTTAGATTTACATGAAAGAAGTTTTATTGAATGGGTATTTTGCGCCTTTCGAGTAAGTTTCATTATTAGCTTTAGTCTTTTAGCATAGTCTACAAAAGTTTTTTTATTTACTTCGTTTTGTTTATGCCTATATTGCCATAGTAATTGGCGTTTCTTTTAACATATTTTAAACCGCGAGATATCCATTTAGGCTTTTTCACAAGGTTAACAACTCTAGTTACATTAGGAAACATAATCTATAGTACAAAAGCAAATGTATCCAAGAAACAATTGTAAGCTATATTAGGGTCATGTTTCATATATATTCGAGAATGATATGCTTTTTAAACATTGTTTGAATTTTTTTATTTTTCTACAGTAATCTTTTGTAGTGACTCGCCAATACCTATTATTCAATTTTGTATTGACGGGAAAGTTGAATATTTGTGCTGTGTGGTCAGATAAACCTAGTTCGCGCACTTGAGTAAAAGTTTTCTTATTAAAGTTATGGGCTATGTTGTCAATGCATGTTTGACTTTTTAAACGTGTTGGTTGATTGACTGCGAATTTTAAATTAATCAGTGTACGTAATTTTCCAAATGTTAATAAAAATGATAGCTGTAGATAGTTACCTGGTGCAATTCAGACTCCAGTCCTTCCTTAGTAGCCTGCATAGCTTCCAAACTGGAGCGGCACTGCGCTAGGGAGCGCTCCTTAGGACCGCGGAACCTTTCTATCGACGCGAGCTCTTCTTTCATTAGACGAATATCAGCCTTTACTTTGTCAAATATGTCCCTGTGAATAGGTAATAAATAGGTTATGGAGTTCATAATTGTAATTAGTGTTTTAATTTAATTGATTTCTAGATTTTAGTTGAAATGAATGTGGTATTAAGTTTTTAACGACTTTGTCAATTTCGGGATACGCAATCTATATTTTTATCTTCACTAACATATTTTTTTGCTTAAATTAGCTTTAAATATAGGAAAAATTATTGTAATATACTTAAATGCAATGTGATGAGTGGAAGATATTTCAATTCCACACAAGAAATATCAAGTACCTAATCAAGTTCCTTACTACAACAAGTTCTCTAAAAGTGACCAATAGTAAATTACTAATTATTTAAATAATAATTGTGGCACTGTGGCTGGAAGCCGAGTCTAAAATCTGCGTCAGACTACAATGTTGCGGGTCTGGTGTTTGACACAGGGAGCGTGGTGTGTAACATTGTTTTTACGTTGACCCGGGATTCGAACCCAGCACCTACGCAGCCGCCGGCACCGCGGTACACGACACTGCGCGGCCGCACGCCGGGGGGCGCCACGCACCGCCGCTGACTCCAGCAGCGACAGTCGCGGCTCGCGGAATGCTACTTATGGATATGAGGCTCTAGCATGCCTTGAAATAGTTCTGAGTCAAACAGTTACGTGAACACATAACATAACATCACGCTTTTTATCCCCGAAGGGGTAGGCAGAGGTGCACATTATGCCACTGTACAATGTTACACCCACTCTTCACTATTTATATTATAAATCCCATGTAATAGGGGGTGAGCCTATTGCCATATACCAAGCACAATTCCTGACTCCGTGCTACTACTGAGAATTTTTTTAAAACCCAGTAATACTTTGCCCGACCCGGGAGTCACAGTTGCGACCACTCGCTCAACGAGGCAGTGGCAGTTATGTGAATAAGCCGAAAATGTAATAATGAACTCACTTAGCCTTCCCCTGTTTAGTTTCAGTCCTCTGCATCTCAGACACGATAGAGTTGATACTGGTCTCAGTTTTATTCAGTTCCTGTCTCAATGTGCTCAGCTCTTGTTCCAGTGTGGTGATCTGTTCCATTAGTTCTGAACGAGTCTTCTGCATTTCTAGACGAGACCGAGACTGGTTGAAGTATCCTCCTGTCAGGGAACCTTTGGAAGATACCTGTGAATGAGATAAAATATTAATTAAGAAGAATAAAGTGGAAATATTATTTTTTTCATATAAATAAAGAAAGCTGTGAAACACCAATTTTAAATTGAATTTTCGAACAGTTGTCAATGGTTTACACAAAATGATAACTAATTATGGTTTTAACATAACATAACATCACGCCTTTTATCCCCGAAGGGATAGGCAGAGATGCACATTATACCACTGTACAATGTAACACCCACTTTTCACTATTTATGTTATGAGTCCCATGTAATAGGGGGTAACCCTATTGCCATATACCGGGCACAAATTGTTTTACATATTTCTTAACCCATACGTTATGGATGGTTGACCGATGATTAACCGCCGGCATGGTTAACTGAGTATTCAGTGACCCTTCAATGGGTTTCTGCCGGCAATCAAGGACAGACAACTTTTTTTTTTAAACATTGCTCCACTTTAGGATTTTCTCCTGTGTTGTGGGTGCATTTTACAAACATACACGTTCACATACACAATGACACCCAGACCCGAAATAACAATTTGTGGATCACACAAAGTGTTGTTCCGTGCGAGAATCGAACCCGCGACACGTTGCACGGCAGCAGGTTGCCCAGCCACCGCACCAACCGTGCAGTCAAAAAACTGAAAGAAACTGTTCAAAAAGGAATTCGTAGCGTTACCTGATCTCCCTCCAAGGTGACACAGTCGAGATGGAACTGTTTCCCTAACTCAGTGGCACACTCCAAGTTCCTGCAGATGAGCGTCTTCCCGAATATATACTTCATCGCCTTCGCGTACTTAGGGTCGTACTTCAACTTCTGCACCATGGCTATGGCGTTCTAGAATAAATAGGAAACAATTATTTAAAATTTGATCAAGACGTTTTAATAACTCAGCCAACAGACAATATTTCAAACTTTCAAAGTAATTTATCTGCCAAAAAAATCAAGATCTAATTTGGACAGCATAAGGTTTAGTTTTGCTTAACAAACTTGCACTAAGTTAGTAACATCATAACATCACGCCTTTTATTCCCGAAGGGGTAGGCCGAGGTGCACATTATGCCACTGTACAATGTAATACCCTCTTTTCACTATTTATGTTATGAGTCCCATGTAATAGGGGTGAGCCTATTGCCATATACCGGGCACAATTCCAGACTCCGTGACTACTACTGAGATTTTTTTTAAAAAACCCAGTAAAACTTTGCCCGACCCGGGAATCGAACCCGAGACCCCATGCCCGGCAGTGGCACTTGCGATCACTCGGCCAACAAGGCATTAACCTTTTGAGCGCCAGGGTCACAAATACGTGACAAGCGAAAACTGTCCCTGAGCGCCAACGACACAAATATGTGACAAAAACAGCGGTACATTAAAACACGAAATAAACTATTTAAACATTACTTTAATGCCTATTTATTTATATACCTGTAAAATAGAAGGTCCAAAATTTATTTATTTCCATAAAACTAATTAAATTGCATTATAAATATTGAGAAATTTTACGTTAAAAAGAAATAAATAAACTCTGAAAAAAGAATGTCCTCACACGCCAGAGTCATAACTGCGTGACCGCTAGTGATGTAGCGCATGTTGGATAATATTATTATTTCAAATCAAAGATCGATTCGAAACTTTCCTCTGGAATATATTATTTTAGGTATAATTTGGTACTAGGATAAAGCAGCATTAATTTTATAAAACCAGTCTTAAAAATCATTCAATAAGCTACATAGTCAAAAATAAAATTTGGTTGGGTCGAATTTCGATATTCACTAATCCCAACTCAAGCGCATCCCTAACGCAACCCGAATTATCAGTACCCTGTACGCCATGGTCACGACTAGACGACAATATCGTGACGTCACAAGCGCGGCGACCAGAAATTAGTGAAGTGAATGAATAATATTTATGATTAATTTACTTGTGATATCGAGTTCAAGATTTATATTAAGTGACTATTATAATGAGTGGGAATTTAATGACTACGGAAGAACTTCTTCGCATATTAGAAGGAGTCTCAGATGACGAAGAATTTTCGGAAACAGAATCTTTGGACGAATTTGATTTAGAGGTAAGTTATTTTTATCTGCTTTTATTTTTTAAAAAAGACTGATTTTAATGTCTCTGTGATACTGATTTTTCTATTGTATTTACGAGGAGTAAGCAGTGAATAAAGCATGAAGGTGTAGGTAAAGATGAAGTACACAGTACACACTTGAAATACCTACTTGAATTTTTATTACTCTTCTACTGTCTGAGGTCAGTTTGTTTCAATTTCTGTAGTACACTAGAAAAAGAGATCAGACCTCAGTTTGCCTCAGAGAATAGGAGCGAGAGTATTTGACTCGAAACTTTTATTCTAAGTGTGGGCTCCATATTTACCTATAACTTCGTGGAATAAAGTCTGCCAAAAGTTCCTTTTTTAGCCACGGTGCGCGCTGAGATCGATTTCACTGTCCCCACCACCCACTTTGCACCCAGCGAATTAGATGATCAGAATGCAGGTTGCATTGTAGATTTTGTATAATTTTGTTCTATTATTCAAAAGATTTATTAGTATAAGACTGATTGGTAATTGTGATAATTATATATAATCGTTAATTGTTTTAATTTGTTACTTTTTATGCCAGGTTTATAGAACTTAATATTTAAAAACATGTATACATACTACATACTGTATAACATTTTATTAAAATTTTCTATTTTTTCATAGTTTTTATTTACCTTCTTAACCTATTTCAATCATATATTTTTAAGTACCTGTTACATTCGGAATTATAAATCTGATTTAAAAAACGTGTTTCATTTATTATAAAATAATATTGTACTAGAACATCGATAAACGAGATATTACGTTGCCACATCCTTATTTCGGAAGTAGTTATTAAAATGGCGGGCCGTCCACGCCATGGTCATAATATGAAGACAGCAGATCAAGAATAGTGTTGTATCTACAGTTATTATATTTAAATATATTGTAGTCTCATATCTGTTATTACGGTATTATACAAGTCTGTAAATAGTGTATAACTATTACTTTAATAGGAAGAAATGTAATGTTGAATTAAATTTCAATGTTATAAGGACATTATATTTCGAAATTAAAGACGAAAATGAAAATAAAATTGATTATCGATGAAGTTTTGGAATCCCTATTTTTTTCGTAGGTATTTGCGGTGAATTTGTGGCCTGGCGTTGAGGGCAAGTTCATGCGTTTTTGCTCTGGCGTTCAAAAGGTTAAGTTAGTCTGTTGAAGTAATTTGTAACTCAAGTATAACTTATACAAGCACAAATTCTTGTTCAAGTTACAAGTATTAGAATACCTCAATCAAACTTAATTTAGGACATATAAGAAATGAATTAAGAAACTTACATTATCATTAGGATAGACCATATCCCTGACTTGCAGTCGGTTGAGTGGCATAAAGGTGACCTCTCCAGGCAAGCTTTGTCGGTTCATCTCCTTCAAGATCTTTGTGCCCACGGTGTCGGATTCTACGATGTGGTGGAACAATCTGTTACCTGCTGTCACCTAAATAAGTGAGAAAAAGAAATGGCATTAAAAATTAAACTACAATTTTTGTAAGTTGGTTGTGCATTATTATGAGCCCCTGGCGTGGCTAGAAACGTGTCGAGCTACCTACTCAAACATTTACTTTTTAAGTCTTAAAACACAATTAACCATCACATTATTATATTATTGATCAATTGAATGCTTAAGGAAGTTTAAATATGACCTTTAATTTTGCAGATGTGTTAAAACTAATTTACGAATTGTATCTAGTACAGGATTATATGCAATTTAAACTGCAAAAATTAAATTTTAACCACAATAAACACGAAATAAGCAGTACAATATAAGGCACAAATGCCAACTTATTCTTTAGCAATTATATAATTTCCTTTTAAAACAACTTCTTACCTCAACGGCAGTATAAATAGTTTTATCACAAGTGAAGTTCTCAATGACAGGTCCATAGTACTGTGTGGCTATCTTGGCCCACTCCCCCCCTCGCTCCTGGAATGTCTCCAGGACTTTGCGCACACTGTCTCTACCATTCAGGATAGGCTGTAAGGAAGTATTAGTGTTAAAATTATAGGAATAAGGTATATTATTGTAGTAGAACAAGTTTAGTATTCTAGAATTTGAAAATTCGTATGCAAAATCCGATATACAGAAAGTGCTTAAACGTACCTTTCCCGCCATAGACCTCAGAGCTTGATCAGCTTTAGCCAAATCTTCTTTCAAAGACGACAGATTCTGTGTCAGTGACGTTTCCTTACGCCATAATTCACTGAAAACAAAGACAATGTCTTAATTACCAGTGTCTCAAAAAACCAGATCTTTCAACAATGGATATTACAATGGAATAAGGTTAAAAATCTATTAAAGGTATTAGCCATACAAAAAGATTGTTGTAATAACAATAATTATGTATTAAAGTTACACAGCACTTACTTCCTAGCACTCTGCTCCTGATCCTTCCTCTTCTTGCACTCGTAATACTGTTTATTGTGCTCGTCTATAGCGACTCTCTGTCTCTCCATCTCCTTTGTAGTCTCTTCTATTCTCTTCTCCAACTCTGTCAATTTGGTCGCGTCGCGGCGAAGGTCATCACGTAGTTTCGTCTCGTGGTCCTTCTTGTCTTTTATTTGTTTGTTTAGAGACCTGGAAAATGTAAATTGGTATTTAGTACTTAGATGTTAAGGTTGACAATAACTTTTCTATAACGAGTTTTAGACCCAGTAAATAATTAATCTAAAAACACTTCAGTCAAGAGTACTCTTTCATAAGCCTAAACCATGAAACCGCGATCTCCTATCCAACCTATACTATCGTATCATATAGAGATGACCAATAATACAAACAGTGGATTGTTACGTGCTATTGATGTAGTAGCACTTATTATTTATTTAATAATATTTTCTAATTGATTCAGAATTTTAGTCAAAACCCATGCTATCCATCAATATACATACAAATAAAAAAAATATACAGAGGAATTGAGAATCCTCTTTATCTATGTAGACATAAAAATATAATTTCTGTTTATACTTTTGAATTAAAAAAAATATTTCTTTATTTTATTTATTAGGGAAGTCGGGTTAAAAACTGGATTACCACTGCTACTATAGATACTTATATCTAGCAGTGAACAATAATTATATTATTATTATGATACATACTTGAGTTCCTTCTCAATCCATCTGTCCCTGTCTTGCTTGGATGTGAACTGCGTGCCTCTGCCCTGCTTGGCGTAGAGTTCCTGTCGCTTCTGCTGGTTGAGTGCCAGAGCTCGCGTACACTCTTCCTCCCGAGCCTTCATCTCCTCGTATTTAGGCTTCAACTCTTCTAATTCACGTTCTTTCTCAGCTATCTGTTGTCTAAGACGCTCGAGTTCTCCTTCGGCGCGTTCCTAAAGATCAAAGTCAAAGTCAAAGATCTTTATTGTGAGACAGTGGTTACAAAGGTTGTTGTGTTCTGGCACTGCTCCACCATGTTAGGCATAACATAAGATATTATGTTAAAATTATAACAGAGTGTAATAGATATTTTATTGTGATCACATTAATATTATACAGACTTTTTTTTTAAATACGTAAACAATTAATTTTGAATTTATTGAATTGTCATGTTATCAAAAAAGAAAACAAAAATAATCCAAAAAGAGACAAATAATGTTAAAGGTTTACAGATTCTTAACATAAATAATTGTTTATACTTAGCTTGTTTGTATACAAATCTAATTTAGCTATTAGGCTTTTGCTAAATATTGGAAGATCGAATAACAAACTCAAACTCAAAAGCATTTATTTCAATTAAACCATAATTTGTTACTTTTGAAACGTCAACAAATATGAAATAAATAATAGTCTGTCAGTCTGTCCGTCAGTGAAGCTAGGCGCTCGTTCCAAAATGTCGATTCGAGTAGAGAAGAACGATCAAGAAACTCCATTCGTTACTCTTTTAAAAAAAAGTCTGTTTTACATTACTCTGATACATATTCCAATATACACACACATGTGAGAATAATGTAAAGACATACAAGATAAATAAGTGCACATCTTACCTTAGATTTATTGTCTCCATCGACATCATCGGACAAGTCCTTGATACCAAGTTCTAACTTGGTCTTCTCTCTCAACAACTGTTGTTGTTCTGTAGACAATATGTCTTTCTCTTCGCGGGCCGCAGCTACGTCCTTACGCGCGTCCTTTAACTTCCTGAAATATTGAATTTCAATATGTAAAACTATATACAATGGAAAACATCATATATGGGTGATTTATTTTGTTTAAGAGGTTTATTTTTATCTTGTCTAAAATTGAAGCTTCAATTATTTACAAAGAGGGTCAAAACCTATTTAAAAACTACAACTATTTACTTTAAATATATTAAAGTACTAGCTACTTCCGCGCGGTTTCACTCGCTCTGCTCGGCGCCTATTAATTGTAGCGTAATATTTTATAACCTATAGCCTTCCTCGATAAATGGGCTATCCAACACAGAAAGAATTTTTCAAATCGGACCAGTAGTTTCAAAGATTAGCGCGTTCAAACAAACATAGTATAGATAAATTACCTGTTAGCTTCCCTGACATGTTCCTGTGCCTCTCTGACCATATCGGCATAGTGTTGCTGCTCTTTACCGCTGTTTGAGCGCATTTTCTCCAGCTAAACATTAACACAATATTATTAACTGAAAACTTGAAACAACAGCAAACAAGAGTAGGTAGTTAATACGTTGATATATCGTACGGAAAATTTCTTCATACAAAAGTAGTCTCTATACATCGGAAATAAGGTCTATAAAGGAGTAAGTGGAGAGTGGTCACCGGAGACCGCTTAGGGATTTAACATTTAAAGACGCGGCTTTATTAAAAAGGTTTCAAATCAATATAACAATGGCTAATATATGTGTAATCCTTCTTCCTACAAATACATAATTATTATAAATGCAAAAGTTTATACATTGTTTGTGTACGGTCTTCAACTGTACATGCTTTTTGATGACACTGCAGTCGGTACGACTGCGCGTCATTTTTACCTAATTATAAATACACGGTTGCTACACACACGGACCAGTGTGCATTTTACAACAATACCACAAACTACTTAAGAGAAAGGAATAGTCAATATCGACGAACTAGTGTAACTATCAGTAATACAACTTTACTTCTTCAACTACAACCTCGTGTTCTTTTCTCTTCACACTCCAACAATTAACTACAATCTGCAAGTGTACGAACCGTACATTTTATGGTCCTTCGAGCCGGATTTCTCTGTGTGTGGTATATCTATATACGATAGCGAATCGGTTCAGCTGGTCTCCCAGAAGCGGGTCGCCCCAGTTGTATTGAGAAGGCGCACATATCGTACGTAGTGTACTACCATACGGAGTATTCCAACGCGACTATTGGAAGAGGTCGGCAAACTGCGGTCATCTTGTCGCTAACAACTGCTCACCTGTCGCCATCAACTACGTGACTACGAGCTATACCAACCGCATAAAACGCTCATTGGTCGCCGTCAACTACGCGACTACGAGCCACAACTACATCAACTAACTAGCAGTCATCTATCGACGTCAACTGTGTGAGTTACCCACCCACTATCAACTAAAGGTTATCGGCATGGATAAATTGGAACTACAATCATCATGCTTTGATAATATCAAGACCTTGTGTACAAACTATCGCAAGGATTCTTCTTCCCGTAAAAACGGGGACTATCTGAACAAACGTTTGGCATCGCTGGAAAATCAATGGAAGGATTTCGACAGCAGGCATGTAACGTTAGTGCTAGAAGTAGAGGATAAAACTTTATTCTACTTCACGGAGGATGTTTACGGGAAAACAAAGGAGCTGTACTTGACAACTAAAACAGACATTCTGGACAGATTGTCAGACTTAGAGAAACCAAAACAAAGCATAAGGTTTGACTTAAGTGGAACGTCAGCAGAAACCGAACTTCAAATCGACGATAACATTCAACTGTTAATGAACAAACAGGAGTGTAATTTTAACGCTCTATATCGCATAATAATGAAAATCAACAATGGCGCATCTATTTCTGAAAAGTGGGAATTAGATGATTATCTAAATACCTTGAAATCAAAATGGGAGCCTATTGATAAACTACACTGGGAAATTGATTTCAAAGTAAAAGGTTCCAATGAAAAATACAACAAAATGTTTGCGGATATCGAACAACAGTATGATGAGTTAAAGAAACGTCTTAACTCCAAAATTTGGGCAACGGTACACTACGAAAAATCTGCTCCCAAGATCGAAATTCCTGAATTTTCTGGCAACTACAGTCAGTGGATTTCATTCAAGGACTTATTTGTGGAGGCCATTCACAAGAATCCCATGATCAACAGCGCGCAAAAAATGCAGCATCTTAAAACCAAGCTGCGAGGGGAAGCTGAGCGACTAGTGCAACATCTGTCCATTAGCGCTGACAATTATAACTCTTGTTGGGACATTCTAAATCAGCGGTATGATAATCGTCGTCTCCAGTTTACATCCTTCATGAACAGCATGCTCAATCTTCCCACCATACAGCATCCAGACTCCGCTAACATAAAGAAAATGCATGACGTCGTTACCGAATGCTTGAATGGTATATCAAACATCGGGATTGATACGTCATCATGGGATCCAATTATTGTACATATTATGTCACAGAAGCTAGACTCAAAGACGCTGAGTGACTACATGAAGGAACTCCAAGATCATAGAGAGCTACAAAGTCTGCAAGATTTCCTATACTTTCTTGAGACTCAATTTATGGCATATGAAACGATGAAATCTGCCAAGAAAGGATGTCAAACAACAACAACTGACAAACCTTCTCATTGGAAATTCAACAAACAAAACCCAATGAAAAAATTTAGCCTATACAATAAAACTAATAACTATCATGCAGGTCACAAAAAATGCCCACATTGCAACGAAAGTCACGTTTTAATGCAGTGTGACAAATTTCTAGAAATGGACTTTGGCAAACGAAGCGACACAGTTTCGAAACTACAGCTGTGCAAAAATTGTTTATTCAGCCACGGAAACGATGTGTGCAAATCTACAAAAACTTGTCGAGAATGCAATCTAAAACATCACACATTATTGCACAATCCAGACAAGAGAAACTCAGCTACATACAAGAGAAAGAACAATACTGAACAACCTGCGCCCCCATCTCAACAGCAAACTTCTAATCATATAACAAGTAATATGGAAGTTTTACTTACTACAGTACAAGTCAGAGTAAAATCTATTGATGGAACTTACGTCATTCTGCGAGCACTGCTAGATCAAGGGTCGCAAGTAAATCTCATCACTGAAAATGCTGCGCAACTGCTAAGACTTCCCCGTAAAAGGGTCAACGCGTGTGTAACTGGAATCGGAACGGCCTCTGGAGAATGCAAGGGACAAGTAAACTTTACCTGCACATCGATGCATTCCGATTACAACTTTACAACCCACGCACTCATTATGAGGAAGCTTACAAACAATTTACCAACGACAACTTTCGAGAAGGTTGAATGGCCACATTTGAAAAGCTTAAAACTTGCAGATCCAGAGTTTAATATCTCTCGCCAAATTGATCTCCTCTTAGGAGCTGAAGTATATTCAGAAATCATTCTGGATGGTGTCCTGAAAGGTAGTGACCAATCTCCTGTTGCACAACAAACGCAAATAGGGTGGATTTTGTGCGGGAAGATGAAAATTTTTAACTGCAATGTAACTAGACTCAATTTAGACGAGTTAACAAAATTTTGGGAAACGGAAGCCATACAACATTTTCAAGATACGCCCAGGAACGACAACTGCGAAAAATTTTATACAGAAAACGTGAAACGATCACAAGATGGGAAATACATCGTAAAAATGCCCTTCATTCAAAACTTTGAGGAAAAGCTGGGATTATCTAGATCAGTCGCCATATCACAATTCTTACAGTTGGAAAGGCGACTCGACAAAAATCAAAAACTTTCAGATATGTACAAGAAATTCATCAAGGAATATATCGATCTCGGTCACATGAAACTTTCGTCTCAGATATCAACCAATAGCTGCTATTTACCACATCACGGCGTGTTGCGGGAAAATTCGACCACAACTAAACTAAGAGTTGTATTTAATGCATCGCAAAAAACATCAAGTGGGTACAGCTTAAACAGCCTTATGGAAAAAGGGCCAAATCTGCAACAAGATATACAAGCTCTAATCCTGAAGTGGCGAACGTACAAATACGTTTTCACGGCTGACATCGAGAAGATGTATCGCTGTATATGGATGTCAGAAGAACAACAAGATCTCCAACGGATAATCTGGCGAGACTCCCGGGACAAACCGCTTCGTGACTATCAACTATGCACCGTTACATATGGCACAAAGTGCGCACCTTGGCTCGCTATACGCACTCTAAAACAGCTAGCCATGGATGACGGGAAACAACATCCAGCAGCAGCCGAAATACTGCAAACGGAATGTTACGTCGATGACGTCATAAGCGGCCACAACTGCATTCAAGAAGCGCAACGCGTACAGCAATCTTTGATTGAATTGCTGAGAGGTGGGGGAATGAATTTACGCAAATGGACCAGCAATCACCAAGCCTTACTAGAAAACTTAAATGATGATCAAATTGCAAGTAAAAATACTTTTGATTTTAAATCAGAAGAATCCAACAAAACATTAGGGCTAGGTTGGGACCCTAACAACGACATGTTTTACTTCAACTGGCCAATGAATCAAGCAAAAAATCTTACAAAGAGATCACTACTCTCAGAAATTTCAAAATTCTACGACCCACTGGGTTGGCTTTCCCCAATAACAGTCAAAGCCAAATTACTGTTTCAAACGCTTTGGATTAGTAAACTTGGTTGGGACGACAAGGTGCCGAGTGATATCGAAACAAAATGGAAAAAATTAAAAAACGAACTGCCGTACATCAAGAACATAAGGCTCAACAGATGGATCGGTGATACGAAGAAACGAGTAGAGCTACTTGGCTTCTGTGACGCAAGTGAGAAGGCGTATGCCTGTATAATCTACAGTCGGGTGATGAATGAAGAAGATCAACCAGCAATATCATTACTCGTCGCAAAAACAAGAGTGGCACCACTAACACAAAAAACAACATTGCCGAGACTCGAACTGTGTGGCGCCCAGTTGCTAGCTGACCTAATAGAAAAAACTAAAGAAGCGTTATCTGGGTTTGACATATCAGTGCAGGCTTGGTGTGATTCTCAAGTCGTTTTAGCGTGGATTCAAGGTGACGCATCAAGGGGGAAACCTACGTAGCTAACAGAGTTGCTAGAATCAAACGCGTAATTCCTGCTTCTAAATGGCATTATGTGAAATCCGAAGAGAATCCAGCAGACTGTGCGTCAAGAGGACTACTGCCAAACAAACTCATGAGCTTCAGTTTGTGGTGGCAAGGCCCCGACTTTTTGTCGAAACAAAATTACTTTGAAAACATCTCTTTTACAACGAACATTGGTTGCATAAATCATACAAAAGTCAAGCTAAACACAGACCAATGTGATAATCAGGACAACTTAATAAGTAAATTATTGAATAAATATAGTTCATTGACTCGAGCGACCCGAGTCATAGCATGGATACAACGCATCATAATAAATATGCGCAGCAAAGCGAAATTGAAAACCGCATACTTAACATCAAGCGAGCTACGTACAGCGAATTCGAGCATCGTCATTCATGTGCAACGAACAGGGTTCAATTCCGAATTTTATCAACTTAAGAGGAATGAATCATTGTTAAAGAAAAGTTCGATTTTCAAACTAAATCCCTATTTGGATGAGGAAGGAATCATTCGTGTTGGAGGTCGTCTGAAGAACTCTAATCTGCCTACTGAAATGAAAAATCCGATAATCATACCACATACGGGCCGGTACACTCAACTGTTAATTGAGCAAGCACATGCACACACGCTGCATGGAGGCGCCAGACTAACGTTAGCTTATATTAGACAGCGATACTGGATTGTTGGTGGGAACAGAGCAGTAAAGGCTATACTGCGTAGATGTGTCCGCTGCCACCGATTCAACAAAACAGATAACCACCAGCTAATGGGCGATCTACCAAGACAAAGGATTACCCCGAGCCGGCCTTTCACGCACACAGGTGTGGACTTCTCCGGATACGTGGAGGTCAAACACAACAAGGGTAGAGGCGTCAAAACGTCGAAAGGGTATATAGCAGTATTTATATGTATGGCCACGAAAGCCGTGCATATTGAGCTAGTATCGGACCTTAGCACAGAAACCTTTATAGCTGCTTTCCAAAGGCTATGTGCGAGGCGTGGGACACCAAAACATATGTACTCGGATTGTGGAACGAACTTCGTTGGAGCAGCAAAGGTACTCCGACAGGAATTTGAGTTATTCAAACAAGTATTATCACCGGAAATTTTCAGCGAGTTAGCAAAAATGGAAGTCGTGTGGCATTTTAATGCTCCAGCATGGCCTAACGCAGGCGGTCTATGGGAAGCCGCGGTTAAGTCAATGAAACATCATTTGCGACGCGTTTTAGGCAACCAGAAGCTGACCTATGAGGAGTTTGCTACACTTTTGGCAAAGATCGAAGCTTGCTTGAACTCACGGCCTCTGTGTCCTCTTACTGAAGATCCTGAAGAGTTTTACAATTGCCTTACTCCAGGACATTTTCTAACAGGGAGCTCGATACTATCAATGCCCCTATCCGATTACAATGACGTAAACAACATTGACTTACGTCATCGGTGGCGATTATGTGAACACATGTTTCATCAGTATTGGAAAAATTGGTCTAACGAATACTTAGCGACATTGCAAACACGCAACAAGTGGAATAAGCCCACAAGGAACATAAAAGAAGGGGATTTGGTACTGGTGAAAGAAGATAATCTTCCGCCTGGAAATGGGCTATGGGACGAGTCTTGGAGACACATCCAGGCTCAGATGGCTACGTTCGAGTCACTACTATCAAGACTGAAGCAGGAACCATCAAGCGTCCTGTAGTCAAATTATCACCATTACCTTTGAATAACGAAATTCAAGCTGATCGAGACGACGAGAATAAGAGCAAGGAGTCTTTGAAAACAGAAAAAATCCAGCTGACGAAAGGAATCAAACATACAAACACTTCACTTTTAACCATATTACTGACTTTATTTACATTTGTATCCGGAACTTATGGTGCCATTGACATTGCGCCCAACGCATCATGTGCTCATATTACAAGGTTGGAACCGGAGCGCCCTGTTTATTATGACACAATCGGTGAAATGCAAATAGAACATGAGCAATGGAATCTAATTATGTATTACAATTTAACTGATTACTGGGAAGGAATTCGGCGCACTGAATCTTACTTCGCAAATTTGAAAAACACCTGCTACAAATTAAAACTACAACAGTGCAGAGCTTCAATGGACCAACTCGGTCATGAAATGGAATTGCTTAGCTATTACAACACAATCTTGATCAATCCGCATAAGCACCTCGGTAATCGTAAGAAACGAGGCTTAGTGGATGGAATCGGGTACGTAGCCAACAGTCTGTTTGGGATACTGGATCAACGCTTCGCCGAAAAATATAAGAACGACATTCAGTCTCTCCAAACAAATGAAAACTATCTTCTGGATTTGATTAAAAACCAAACATCTATTGTAGAACTGGAAAATCAAGTCTTGAAGAAAAGCGAAAACAACATCAAGCGGCAGTTTGACATAATCGACAGCTTCGTCAACCAAACTAACTTGAATTTAGCTTCTATTGAAACGGAAATGCAAATAATATCTGCTACGACTTACATCAATTCAGCATCCTTGACAGCGTATCTACTGATTAACAGCCTGCGGACGTTTCAAGAATTACTGTTTAACACTCTTACCAACGTATACCGAGGACACATAGATGTCCATTTAATCAGTCCCATGCGTTTAATTCAGCAACTAGGGGAGATATCTGGAAACCTTCCGAAGACTGTGGCATTTCCAATTAAAAACTACAGGGAAAATATTAAAGATCTCTATAAACTGATTAATGTAAAAGCACGGGTTACCGAAAATTTTTTCCTTTTCGAAGCACACATACCACTGGTATCCAACGAAGATTATGTCATGTATAAACCAATACCGTTACCCGTAAAAACAGCTAGACAAGCCACCTATGTTCAAATATCAACAAAGTACATCGCTGTTAATCTTAAACAAAATATTTACATATCGATGACCGAAGATGATTTCCAACATTGTATACAGCAAAGGTCAACTAACTTCCTGTGCAGAAAAACCTTACCGACCTACAACTTGCATAACAACAACGCTCCATGCGAAGCAAAATTGCTGTCGCACCACAATACCACGCCTTGTGACGTAGAGCAGGGGGCTTGTAAAGACGCATGGATCGAGTTACATTCACCGAACAGCTGGTTAGTGATATGTTGTAATACGTGTCCATTACGGGCGATATGCAACGATGACATCACATCATACACTCTGTCGTCATCAAGCCTAGTGACGTTATCACAGGGATGCGTACTACAGTCAAAGGATTTAACTATCTATGCCCATCGTCAGTACAATAGTCAAATAAGTATAGACTATAAATTGACACCGGCTCTCTTCGATACGTCCATAAACCGGCTAGTTAATCTGAAGTACCGCTATGCTCCAAACACGCTTCAGTCTACAGATCTGGAAATCACGAAGATTGAAGACAAAATCAAACAGCAGAAGGAAAATGAAGCTCTACCAAGTACGATTTTAACACACGATGTCCATCTATACGCGATCAGTTACATTCTATTGGCGTCAGCCATCGTGGCGGTACTTGTGGTGGTTTGGAGGAAGCTTTGCCCCCGCTGTTGTAAGAAAAGGCACAAAACTTCAACTACAGGACAACCGCAGCAGCATAACGATATTGAACTGCAAATTATGCGTAAGAGGAATTACGACGACCAAAAAGAAACAGCATCGCCAAGCAAGGAAACCGGCGTGGAGGCTCACTCTGAGACACGTCGCCAACAACGCCTGAAAACCGGAACTAAGAATATAGCCTTCAGCTTCGACTAATTAATAATATTTTTTTGCTTTGTAATGGCTTTTCCTTCTCTCTTTAGTTACTTTTATCTCTCTGGGGTTGCCAAGATGTACGGTCTTCAACTGTACATGCTTTTTGATGACACTGCAGTCGGTACGACTGCGCGTCATTTTTACCTAATTATAAATACACGGTTGCTACACACACGGACCAGTGTGCATTTTACAACAATACCACAAACTACTTAAGAGAAAGGAATAGTCAATATCGACGAACTAGTGTAACTATCAGTAATACAACTTTACTTCTTCAACTACAACCTCGTGTTCTTTTCTCTTCACACTCCAACAATTAACTACAATCTGCAAGTGTACGAACCGTACAGTTTGTTTATTTGTTCACATCAAAACAGCTAAAGGGATTGGGATGTTTAGAACAAAAGTAGGTTATGGTCAGGAAGCGGTCACTGGTGACTGCTCTCCACTAACTACATTATAGACCTTATTTCCAATATTTAGAGACTACTTTTACATAACATAACATCACGCCTTTTATCCTCGAAGGGGTAGGCAGAGGTGCACATTATACCACTGTACAATGTAACACCCACTTTTCACTATTTATGTTATGAGTCCCATGTAATAGGGGGTGAGCCTATTGCCATATACCGGGCACAGTTCCAGACTCCGTGCTACTACTGAGATTTTTTTAAGCCCGACCCGGGAATCGAACCCGAGACCCCTTACCAATTCAGTCAATACCATTACGCAGTCGCAATTGCAACCACTCGGCCAACGAGGCAGACTACTTTTGTATGAACAAATTGAGGGGATAATTTTCAACAATTTTCAACGAGTGAATTTACTATCTGACTACACAACTTTGATAAATGTACAAGTGTATAAAAATTAGAGCAAAAATTTGGTTCTAAATAATTCACAAATATTATCTCACCTCTTCAAGCTTCCTCTTGTTCTCCCTATGTTCTGTGTCATGTATGATGAACTCCAACACTCGCCGAGCTCGGTCCCATTTCTGATACTCCTTCAACTCCTCTTTCTCCTCCTCCAGAGTCTTCAGACGCTCCTCTATTGTTTGCAAGAATTCATTGATTTTTTCCACCTGTCCAATATAAGAAATTCATACGTGCTGTATTTTATTATTAAATTAGTATTAAAAAGTTTAATTTAGATAGATTGAATGTAGATTTAGTTTTAAATTAGTATAAGAAATCTTCCTTTTATGCTGTTAATATAAATTTAAATTTAAAAAATTATTATAAATTTCGTGAGACATACTAAATAAATTATTATGTTTTCGGCTTAATCACGTAATGATTTGACGAGGAAATTGACTAGTTTACTCAGTTGCACTACTTAGTAATACTAGTTTAGTAACAAGATTCAGTAGCAGTGCGACAGTCGCCGCGTAGCAGGTCGCGAAATGCTGCTCATGAATATGAGCCTCTAGCATAGCTTGAAACTAGTCGAGTTCCTCGTCAAATAATTACGTGAGTAAGCCGCAAATATAAGGATTTCAATTAGAGTACATCATGTACTATCAAGCAAATATTTCTTTTACACAAAGAATTAAGCCTTTCACTATATACTAACTTTTAAAGTTATCAAAAACCCCAATGCCACGAAAAAAAGATTAATGTAAAAACATAAGTGTACCTTTCCAACAGTTTCTTTTAGAATGGTGACGGATTCCTCTCTGCGCTCATCATAAACTCTGGTTCCAGCCACTTCTCTTAGCAGCTTCAATCTATGGGAGTCAGGCGCTATGGCCATTTGATTAATCTGTGGAAAAAGAAAAAAAATTAAAACATGTTACCTAATTTTTTTATAAATTTCATTTTATTTTTTCTCTAAATCTAAACATTTAAAACAAATAGGATAACTTTTTAAAAATATGGGTAAGTCATTAATTTTAAAATATAATATGACTTAGTTATATGCAGGGCTCAGTACTAATACAAAACTTTATTTCTTTAGAAGTATATTTGAATAACTATAATAACAATGAGGATACAAATATTGGTAAGACACATAAGATCACGCCTTTTATCCCCGAAAGGGTAGGCAGAGGTGCGCACTATGGCACTTAATGCCACTACAATGTAACACCTACTTTTCACCATTTATGTTATGAGTCCCATGTAATAGGGGGTGAGCCTATTGCCATATATTATGCACAATTTTAGACACCGTGCTACTACTGAGAAATTTTAGAACATAACATAACACCACGGCTTTTATCCCCGAAGGGGTAGGCAGAGGTGCACATTATGCAACTGTACAATGTAACACCCACTTTTCACTATTTATGTTATGAGTCCCATGTAATAGGGGGTGAGCCTATTGCCATATACCGGCAAAATTCCAGACACCATGCTACTACTGAGAAATTTTAGAAAACCCAGTAATATTTGTAAGGATGGTTTAGAAATTAAGAGAAACCTTATTCTAATTAGAAAAAAATAATTATTATTACTCTTACTCACCTTTCCTTGTTTGACAATGTAGTATGGGTTGGAGTTGGATAAACCAGCACTCTCCAGCAGGTTAAGCACCTCAGACCGAGGTACTACTTTCTTGTTGAGGAAGAACTGATCCTTCTTTGATCCAATAACACGGCGCAGAAAGATTTCATCTTTCTCTATCTAAACATGTATAGAAAAAATTGTTTAAAGAATTAGTATTTATTAGTTCTAAATGTTATTTTGTTCACTTATAGGATGTTAAAAGTTCATAGTTTTTTAATTTTACTATATCTACAACATAGTACACATTAACACATTGACCTATATTTATAATATTCCCATACAATCACTACGTACCAATCCTTTGAAAATGAAATCTTAAAGTTTTTTTTATACTTGATACTTAGTAGTAAAAGGGTAAGTACTTACTGGAATCCTATTATCAGAGTTGTCGAATATGATCTCTACAAAGGCCGAAATGACCCTCGGGCCTGTGCCTTCGTGTAACAGGGCCAGACGTTGCTCCGGTCTTAGGTGAGAGAACTCATCACTCAACACAAATTGTATAGCTGGAAATTATATATAATTATTACAAATTGGACAATAACCCAGAGTATTTGAAAAATTAATTATTTCCTTGTCTTTTGTGTTGGATGAGTAAGTTTGTTTGGCTAGCAGTGATAGACAAGCATGTCACATTACTTACCATGGAAAAAGTTACTTTTTCCCGAACCATTTCTGCCAACGACGACATTGTGTCGTTTGTCGAATGGCTCGACCACAATTTGTTCCCGGTAACTCTTGAAACCCTGGATTATCACCTATAAACAGAGGCACTTACATTAGCGTCACTTTTAAGTTATCAGAATTCACCTTAAACTTGTATAACTATAACTTTACTATTATAACAGTGGGGAAAAGCACTTAAATATACCTGTTTTATATGCATTTTTATAGATTGCCAGCGTCTTCAGCATTAACTTTTAATTTATTGTTTACAGTGGCGATGATACGTTGACCGCCATTTCGAAATGCCAAATTTGACATTACAGATTACAGTTCAAGCCACAGATTGTTCAAGCGGTACAGATGGTACAGATTAAACAAAAAAGCAACTTCACTTTATGATTCTCTATGGTTACTGGCATGGCGTTCGGATTCACACACACAAAACTTGTTTACGTTTTGGTAATGTTGTCATATACAAATCCTAAATTGTGATCCTTTTTTGCACACTAGATGGCGCTATTCAATTTTTTATGTTACCAAATGCTCAGGCTTACGGTTTTTTCGGAGATATCGAACCATAAAGAAAAGTAAATATTTGTTTTCAATAAGGTATATCAATGAGGATACACGCTGATATGTTTGGTATCTAGCGCATTACAGGTAGGCTATATTTTAAGATAACAATGTTTACCTTGACACTCCAGCCTAAAGTCAGAAAAAAATTACTTCTAATCTTAGGCTTATAGGCAAATGAGCCTTGAAAACAATTTATCGGATATTTTTAAATGAGGTTAACTTGTCTAAACAATCGCCAAGAAAATGTGTGAATTAGTTTGAGCTTCAAACTCTATGCTGTATTTACTTAAAAGTTTGTCACGTGCTTGTAATGAAAACTAGGATACTAACCGCTATGACGTCATAGCCACACCTCCGTTAGCATGTTCAGTGTTCTCCCAATGCATATATTACCACCATGAACTGTTCTGTTATTTATCACATTTTCTGTCTTCTGACCAACGGTTTTTTGTCAATGATATTTTTTAGTCTTTATCCATTATTGTTGCATCATTGATTCGAATGCCCCACCCACAAAACAATCTATATGAGACCTGTAGGTAATGCACATACATAAATGCCGAATAGATAAATACTGAAGTGAAAGTGCAGTTTTCACAGTTCTCAGACTCACACAGCCTACACTAGGATTTTCTCCTATATTGTAAAATTAAATACAAAACATGCACATCACACCTAAACCCGGTACAGTTATTTGAGGAAAAAATAAATTAGTTATTCCATGTGAGAATTAGACATGAGCCCAAGTCCAAGCAGTATGGTTGTGCAATAGTCTAGCAGTAGCAGCACAAAATGCATACATACAATGCTACATGTAAATACACCTGTATTTTTTGAAGTTAATTTTTTTAGGGCTTTTAATGTATTTCAAATGCAAGGCGATTAAATAATGCGACGGACTGTTTATAATAAGTAGGTATATGAAATGTCTATCTACCCAACAATTTTGAATTCTTTGCATCCCCTCTTCTTCTTCTTCTTATGGTGCCACTTCATTCCTGAAGGTTGGCCGTCAACTTTTTGAATTGGTCCTTGTCATTGGCGGTAAAGTTGTTGCACAGAGCTGATACCAGTCCACTCCCGAATATTGCGCAGCCACCACTTACTTACTTAGTGAACCCCCTCTAAAGTAATAATAAAATATAAGAAATTTAAATTACGTTATCAGGTGATCTTTTACGTCACAAAAATGCGCAATTATATAAGTATAAGGTGAACAAACTTGATTCTTCCGATCGATTCAAATGAACCTTCTCACATAGACACATCTCCGCTTAAATGCTAAGTACTTAATGCTGCGCCTACTCAGCAAGCAAATATCGAATAAAGGAGAATTAAGATTCAATCTCACGGGCTACTTGTGGAATGAATAAAATAAAATAAATGTAAATTGTTGGAGATTTATTCGAAGAGCGCGCAAAAAGATTATCTCAGTGCACCTACCTAAAATAAATAATAAATCACCTGCATTAATAAAACAAGTCCTAGTGCCAGCGTTATATTGTGGATTTTAGAAACAGTTAAAAAAAATAAAAAAGGAGGTCTGCGTAGTAAATAATACTAATGTAATAATGATATAGCCATTATAGATTACATTTTTTTTCTATTTGCTTTTTTCCAACAACGTAGATTAACCAGATTCAGCATTTTAATTAACATAGACAAGGGGATTGTCATCTGTCCTAAACCTCCAACTAAAAGGTGATACTTTCTTCCGTCCTGGGTACGTTTACGAAATACACATCACAACCAGAATCGGAATACTAGATAACTGGTCCTTGTCTAAACCGAACCTGCAGACATTTTATAGCAGTTATAGGCTTTTGATAGAATAACCAAATACATCAGTAAAATTATAGGCACGTAAATATAGCATGTTACCACAAAAAAAGGCAGGGTGATCCATCGTTTGACACAAAGAACAGATAAAGTTGCCCACAACCACAAGGTGAGTTAGTGGCCAAACGTCAATTATTACAAAATTAATGGTAAAAAAACAAAATATGCCCTTATACATATATCCTTAGAGGTATATATCCACCTACTTCTTAATTTATTGATAAATGACGATACCTACATCTTCTGAGAATTCGTAATCGCGCAAGCTCAACTTTTCCTTAACCCCTCGAGCTTCCTTATGAGCACCCGGTGGATCATAAGAAAAAATGTTCCAAATGTCACGCGTGCACCCGTTGGATCACGAACGGACGGAAGGAGGAACGCGGACGCTTGACGGGTGTCCACTGCCAGTGTGTACATCTCTCCAAAATAGCACGCCATTGACTTTTTCTTTATTTCTTTTTATGTCTCTACTTTATAATGTATCTACTACTGTCTACCCGAATGTCATCGGCTCTCCCACAGATATAAATTGTCCTTCCTGGCCCACTGCAACTTAAATTGACTAAAGTTATGCCCACTGTCGCGGAGAACCTAACGTACAGCACGTCGCGTTCCGCGCGCGCCTCATATAGCCACCAGACCACCACAGATAGGGCCAAATAGGGCCGATGCCGATTCGGAGTCGCGGAGAATCTAACGGGTTACCGGGGCTCCGGCTCGACGTGCAGGAGAAGGAACGGGGTGGTTTTTAGTCAGTAAGAGTCTGACACTCCCTCCCGCCTCACCCAGGCGGGAGCAGTCATTCGAAGATTTTCCCCCCTTAAAAAAGTGCCCTTTGTATATCTAATAATAATATAGCCCATATTAATTAGCATGCAGGTACTTAAAGTATTACAAGTTGAAGTAAGTAAGTAGGTACATTGGTCTACAAGTTTCCTTATCTACCTGTAATTTACCCAAATTAAAGTTTAACAGACATTTTCAAAAATATAGTTACATAATTTACTCATAAATTGTAAATGTAAGTCTCAATTTAATTAGAATTTCTCCTTATAAAATACGCTTCCTATCAGTAAAAGTCATCAACCTCATACCTCGTTTTAAAATGTAAAAGTACCTAAGTAGATAGTCAATAGAATTAACTTACAATTAAATATTTAAACGGAATAATTCAATGATTATATTACCTACCGGTAAAGAGATAAGGACTTATAGAATAAGTATGCATAGATACCTATTTCTAAATTAACTTAGCATATTGAGGACGAGTTTAAATACAATATTAAAACAAGTAGCCCGAAAAACCTAGATCGATTATATTTCAGTTTCTATTTGAAGTTCTTGGTGTACTATAAGATGCTATATAGGCTCTGTAGCTCTTAAACAAAGTTTATCACTTTTCACAGATACTTACCTACCTATATTAAAATTCATGCAACATTCGACTTTGATATATTCAATTATAAAAACTAGGTTAGATACATGCTATTATATTAAAGACCACCTACTATACTTACCAATTTTTATCATATAGGGTAAAACCTGTTGACACCCATTAAAATGGTTTTTGTTTCGTTAGGCTCAATGTATCAATTAGGTTTAAACTACATAATATTTTAAAATAAAAATGAGGCATAGTAAACCTTCATGATTATCTTATGTAATACTGTATTAAAAAGCCACTAGAACATATGAAAGTTTTTAATTAACTTAAGAATTATTTATAAAGGATAGGTAACACTATTCTAATTTAAATTGCAGCGCAACATCAAATATTTAGTTACTTATATTTTGTGACCAGTTTTATCGCACTTACTTTTTTAAGTCAAATACATATAGAATTTTCTAAAGAAGATAAATTCGCGGTACACGTCGTCCTCATGACATAACCTATTTAATATATATTTATTGTAATAACTGTATCTATACTGAGCTGTCGTATTTGTTTCATGAATTCGGAATTATTACGATCTTGCCGTTTGATAATAGCGTACCGGACGCAGAATTAAGTTAGCGTCCGTACACGTAGGCGTGCGGCGTATATACGAATAGCAAAACTATACGTAATAAAAATATAAAAAATAATATTAATTTCTAAATAAAAAAATAATAATCATGACGGCGGTAAAAAGTGAGGAAAGTGATAATAAAAGTGACATTTTTACAAAAATAGAACGTTTCGGAAGATATCAAACTGTACAATATATTTTAGTTTGTTTAACTTTATTTATGATTTCTATGACACACGTAAATTATGTATTTGTAGCCGAAAATGTTAATTACAGGTAAGATTTTATTTATTGATTTTTATTGCTAATTTATTTTAATTCTTTACCTGACTCCAAGTATTTAGTGACATGTATTCTGAATTAATCAGGAAGAACAGAACTTTCCCTTTTTGAATTATTATTTTATTTTATTATAATTAAAATTATATTATTATACAGAAGTAAGTTTTCTAAAATCAATAGTAATTTTTTATCCTTTTCCCATATTGAGGCTGGCATAATTTTTTTTTCTATATTTCTATTAAAGAATATAATATCCGTTTTCAGGCCGTCCCTTTAAATAATTTATCAGATATAATTTCAAGCTTTATATCACTAATGCAGATGTAAGTTCCTTTTTTTTAGCTTCATTTTGTGTGACTTATAGACTTCACATATTTTCCGCAATATTATGGAGTGTTCTATTCCTAAATATTTAATACTAAAAGACTTTACCCTCGTAACTGGAATAGTCCCATTGAACCCACACGTCACTCAGCCTACATATATTTAGCTCTTCATATCCCGTCACTGGAAGTCACCCAGCTGATAATTATGATCACTTCACAATAGGAAAAGCTCGTCTCTCATTAACTCCTAGTTGAATAACTGATAAAAAATGGGTTCAAACTTAATTCTACGTCTGAATTAAAAAAACACATATACCTAACTTAGTTATTCTAGGTGTTATTATGCCGTATTGGACGTTTCCATTCTGGTAGTACCAACAGGATAACTTCAATATTCAAGCCTTTAGGCATTAAAAGCTTCACCATCAATGTCGAAATTTTCCATTAACTCTTTTGGCTCTTTTTAATTGTTGTCCAGGGCCTAATAATTGGCTCAGGACATTTATAATGTGTCTGCTAAATTGTCGAGAAGGTTAATATACTTTTAATAGTTTGTATCTATTCCTTCTGGAAGTTTTTCTTTGCTTAATTAAGAGCTATGAGCCCTTGACAACCATTACGTGTTAATTAGTTGTGGAATCGTACATTCAAATTAATAAACTTTAACAAAAACAGAGGAGCTTTGATAGGATCCAATTGACTTATGGCTGAATGTATCCCTGTATCAATTGAGCTCATTGTGTGAATAAATGGTATCAATTTTGCATTATAGTAGCAACGAAAGTACTTGGATACATTATTACTTACATTACATGGTATAACATAATCATTACCTACGCATTTTATTCCGTAGAAACTCTACGGTGGTAGTTGAACTTGTGCACCCACAAGTCGAAAATTAGGGGTTAGGTACCCCTAACCCCTAATTTTCGACAGCGCCATGGGACTCATAGCAATATGAGTCTCATGGCGGCCTTCGCCATGCGTTGTAGTATTTATAGAATCCACGTTTGACTAAGTATTTGGGAAAGCCTCAAGTATACTATACAACGCGCTACCACTTTCTCAACTCTGGAATTTCCGTTCGACAATTTAGCGACCGTCCAGTCAGACAACAAAACAGTCAATTAATTTAAAAGAATAATTTATTTTAATTTAACACAGATGTCGTGTCCCCGAATGCGAACATGAGAATCAGAAGATGGAAATACCCACATGGTGGCCAGAAGACATCGATCACAAGTGCTACAAACCTATTCTAAATACTAAGAAATGGGCTTTGTCAAATGGAACCTGTTCTAATTCTTCTTTCAATGGAGTAATAGAAGAGTGCCAGCATTGGATCTACGAAAACAACAATTCTATCGTTGCCGAGGTACGTACGTTGTTGTTGTTGTTTTAAGATCTGCGTTTATTGAGTTGCGTAAAATTGAAATCAGGTTTATGACAAACGATTTGGTGAACCTTACCTTATTAATTTTGCTAACCGAACCTGTTTTTGCAATGAATTGAATTTAGTTTTAAATTATTTCCTTAGAAAAATGCCATACATGAAATTCTGGCCATTCCTACCATGAAAAATAGTTAAGACCAATAATACAGTTGATCACTTGTTAGGAAATAGAAACAAACAGGTAAAATCTAGAATCCACTATACGAGGTGCCCCTTAAAAAAACTGTACGAGGTGAATTAAAAGAGTGAGTAGGTCAGTCACCTGATGCAAATGATACACTTCGATAATGTTATACCTCAAAATCCACAAGAAGCTCTTTCATTTCTGTATCAATAAACAAGATTTATAAATGTAAACCATAGGGGCTTGTTACAAACATAATAAATATTTGTTCGTGAAGATAACTAATAATTAAGTACCTAATATAAATTATATTAAGTAGGTAGTGCAGTGTATATTTGCATGAGTATTATAAGTATTACGTTAGTAATAATGTTGTGATATTTTGACATTGAATTGTAGATATTTAACTTATTAACATGTACTACTGTTATAATGCACATAAAGGTGTTTACACAATGTGGGCTAAATAAATATTTTGTAAAGAATTTTGAAAACTTTACTCCATTTAAGGCCACTACACTGACCTTAGAATGTTTATCAATAATTCGGTTGAAAACACATTTTTCATTAGAAATTTTGTAAAATAAATACTTAAATAAGAACTTTTTACACTAGTATTTAACACAGGCTTTTTAATATTCATTTAATTCATTTGTTTCTTATAATGTAAAACGAAATACCCATATTTTATGATCATAGCAAAGAGGAATTTAAAGTGCGACGTAATTAAAATGATTTTCATCGGAATATCAATTTCGACGCCGTTCCTTCTTACGTCATTGTTTATTATTGAATAATAATTAGAAGAAATCCTTTTCGGAACCCCACATTACGAGTTATTGATTAAATTAGGTAACTCAAGCTAGTCACTTTAGGTGAACCGCCATCTATGTGTCAATCGGATTAGCACATGCAATGTTGTTTTCCGTTGAAATCTGTGGAAAATGTCAAGTTTGCAGTTTTATTTATGACGTATTTATAGCCTAGGAGCTAATGAACATAGGGAATTTTTTAAGCGACTAACTACATCCGGTACCTAATTAAAATAGCGTTATGATTTACTGGCGATATTTTACAGTTTTACTGTGGAACACAAAATTTTGGCTGGGTGATTTATAGTAACCAATAAGTTTTAAGCAAGACGCAGGTCGTTTCTACCTGCCATTTTTGAGGTAAACTGCTAAAGGTCTGTTCCCCTGTGACAGTATTGAGATCGTTACGATAATGATGGTACATACCTACACGCACAACGTTTGATTAGTAGGTATATATTTTTTTGTTTCAGTTAAACTTGGCGTGCCAACCGTGGAAGGTAAATTTAGTAGGAGGCGTCCACAACGCAGGGATGATAGTATCCATGATATTCACTGGATGGATAGCTGACAAGTAAGACAATACTAACGTTTAACTCAAACCTTCACGAAGTTAAAAAACGAAAAAAGATCAAAAAAAAATCCGAACTATCTTTTTCGATCATTCATTTCAGAAAAAAAAATTTTTTTTAGGTACATAAGTAAACCAGGAAACACACAAAGATTAAGTTTTATAATAAAAATATACGCCCAAATATAAACACGTAAATACTTATTTTATGTGTGTGTGTGTGTGTGTGTGTTTTTTGTACATTAAGTTTTTTACAGCTTACAAGAAAAAACGTTGTGGTAAACACCTAGATAAAGTGCAAAATTGGAATGCCTCGAAAATTCTATTGGAATATCGATTAAATATTAATTATGTTGAATTTACCTTGCTAACCTTGATCAGGAACGTGTAATTTGGGCAAATATTCAAGTTCATTACAACTTTTACAATCCATATTCCGCTGTTTTGCGTTCCGAAGTAAAAGGTTATTCACCTTTGTGACGGACTTATTTTTATCCCTTTATAAGGTTATAACGTTTTCTTTAAATAAAAATGCATCGGAGAGCAAATTACTTTATCTTACAGGTCTATAAAATGACCAGTCGAACAGTGTACACATAGATAATTAATACTCCTTTTCGTTATTTTTCAACCAGTTGTATTACAACTCGGTGGGGCTTTAAAAAATTCTTCAGTCATGTTATCATAATTTTTAAAATATTGTAATAGCGTACTAAAAATAAAAATATTTACATATTTAAATATAATTTTCCTTAAACAAAAAGTGTAAAGACCTTGCACTCCACCGTTTAGTTGAGATAGGACCTTATACTGCAGATGATTTGAATTTTCGCATCCTCGAGCGCACTTATAAGACGGGATAATGGGGTAGTTATCAGTTAGTTTGGGTTTTATATTCTATTCTGTTTTCCTAGGCGAAGAAATTCCAGTTTACTTGATAATATAATATATTTTTAACCTTTCGATTAGACATATTTGATATACCTATCGTTAGTTGTGTTTTGAGCCCCATGTTCATGTTCCATAAATGACGGCACGGTTGGTGCGGTGGCTAGGCAAACGGCTGCCGCGCAACGTGTCCCGGGTTAGGGAACCTAAAGCAACTTGAGAGCAACTTTTTGTTTGATCTATAAATGGTTGTTCCGGGTCTGGGTGTCATGTGTATTTTAATAAACGCACCCAAAAAAAACGACAAGGGAAAAATCCTAGTGTGGGCAACGTTTAACGTCTCTACTATAGTAGAAGAAACACAGTATATAGTAAAAGTATACAGAAGAAATAAGTTCTTATATGGTCTTGTTTCAGAATCGGAAGAAAACCAACCTTCATAATTTGCGCTGTCGGTGCAAGTGTTGGAGTATTTAAAATATTCATGACTAACTACTACTGCTACTTGGCACTGGAATTTCTAGAATCTGTGATGGGATCAGGGCTTTATACTGTAGGCGTGGTTTTATGTAAGTATTTTCTTATTATTACAAACAATACTCGCCAGTAAGAATTGAATGTGTTGTATAGGTAGTATACAATGTATACTAATGAAAATATTTCTAATGCCTATTTCATGTGTTTTTAGTGATCGAAGTAGGAGGAAGTTCCAAAAGAGTCCTTGCCGGAATCATCTTTTCGTATGCTGTTTACATTGGTGAAATAGTGTTCGCATTCTTAGCAATGAGCCTTCATTATTGGAAATGGTTGATAATAGTAGTCTACGCTCCTATGTCACTCTTCGGTTTATATTTTTTCTGTCTAAGAGAAAGTACAAGATGGCAAATGATACGTGGAAGATTGGAAGAAGCCAAAGAAACTTTGAAGATTATGGTAAGAAAGAACAAAATCGATTTGCCAGAGAAAGAAATAGAGGATGCAAGTGACGACCAAATGCGACTAATGTTTGATATCGTAGAACAAAAAGAGAAGGAAGGTATGAAGGTCATAATAGGATCGAAGGAGATAATGACCCGTTTGTCAGTGTCGTCATTCAGCTTCTTCACTTCTAGTTTCTTGTACTATGGATCCCTAGTTCACGTAGTTTTGCTACCAGGAAATAAATATACCAATTTTATTCTCTCTGCATTTACGGCATTCCCAGGAGAAATGCTCGCTTATTACACATTTAACAAGTATGGAAGAAGAATAACTTTGCAATGTGGTTATTTACTTTCCGCAGTATTTCTTATTGCCCAGAATTACTGCCCATCTTGTAAGTATTACCACTTACTTACTTGTCTATTTAAAATATATGTTATGATAACTTTATTTAAGTAACTATTCTTCTTTTTAGCACTATCTTGGTTGAAGGTGATATTATTCTTGATCGGGAAACTTGGAGTTGTGATCTGCTTTACTGGTATTTACACCTACAGTCTGGAGTTATTCCCTACCAGTGTCAGAGGAACCCTGCTTGGCTGGGGCAACACGGCTGCCAGGGTTGGCAGTATGTTAGCACCGTTGACACCTTTATTGGTAAGAGCATAAGAAATATTCTACTCAATTCTTTCATAAAATCGTGTTTAGAGAGCATTAGCACAAGGCAGGTTTTTCCTGTCCTTACTCGGGATAAATAAATTGAAAAGAAAAAGAATAAATTAATAAGAATAAATTAATAGGCATCACCGATAAAATAAAATTCTTACTTCAACTGAGACGCACTTTACATTGAATTTGAATATTTAAATGAGGTCTATTTAAAGAGTTATTTGGCTGGTCGCATCAGCTTATTACTCACTGGCCTACTCAAGGCTAGGCTAGCACATCCCACATTTACAAATATGTACCTACCTACTACAAAATGTATTGCCAGCCTTTTAATTGTAAAATGCCTGTAAAAGTAGATTACAATATCACTATACGGTTTCTAAATGCGTATAAATTATTATTATGCATATCACCTAGTTTTCATCTCCATATTATCTATTCCTACGAATAATGTTATAACCATTTTAAATTATTTCACTTCGTTATGATGACGCATATCCAAACCTGAAATCAAACAGTTAACTCAATTCTGTACTCATTTTCTTTTTCATTTTCTCTTTTGGTCGAATTAGTGAGAGCACTGAGCGCTGGCGAAATCCTAGATTATTCATAGAGTTCTAAAATACAGACCTCGTTATACAAAATCTGTTTAAAATATTTTTGGATATTTCACTTTGAAGTGACCGGTGTGTTCTTTAGGGGACTTTAGAAGAAAAAAGCTAGGTACAGGACAAATCGATTTCTCTTTCATGATTTGTTTTAATTCCTGTCTTTTTTCAAATCCCAGATAACTGAAATACCAGCGCTCCCGTCATTCCTGTTTTCATCAAGTGCTGTAATGGCTGCGCTCCTGTTAACATTCACGCCAGAGACCAAAAACTTGCCAATGTTTGACACAATCGCTCAAGTCGATTCCTACAAAACTGCACAATTCAAAGAAGATAACGTTGAAACAGCTACGGGGCCAAACATTATATCTACGAAATTATAGAAATAATTCATTTTATTTAAATTGTGACAAAATGACAACGGTGTTATAGTGACTAAGTATGTATGTTTAGTGTGATAATGTAGAATATAGATGATGAAGATTGTATATGATGTGATGTAGTTGATTTAGATTGATTTACTCAATTAAAATTTAATAAATTAATAACAATATAATAGAAATAATGTTAGTATTGAAACATACATTACTATGGTGACTATTCGTTCCTATAGATATATATGAAAAATACATTTTGCGGTGTTAATTCCTTACTTACTCAATGTTAAGGTACTCCGTATAGGTTATAAGTACAATTTCAAAGAAATAAATAATTTATATTCCACTTATTTTAGTTTTATTACTTCATTCCTGTGAAATATCAAATATTTGTGCAAGAGACATATCAAAGCAGACTGTAAGTAACTGCATCCTGTGTTGTTGACAAATAGATTCAACGTAAAAACTTTTAAAAGTGTAATTAGTAGGTACAGGCTCGGCCTAATTTACGTTTAATGTAATGTTTTGTTACAAAGTTCCATTAAACACATTTTATTATTTTTTTTTAATTTTCATACCCCCTTAGAACGCGCGTTTATATGGTAAGGAGTATTTATAAATTATGAGATCAGTATGATAAAGTTATCGTAAGAGTCAGAGTGTAAGATCCTGTATAATGATTAATGGCATTGGCTATTGGCTGTGCATTAACGCCATCTAGTGAGCGTAAAAAAGATTAACTCTAGAACTTTCATTAGGTAAAATAGAAAATGTGTATCCAAACATACGAGCTATTTTTTAGTCTTGCAACTCTATGCATAAACAGGAAATCGTTTTGACATTACGGACATACATAACCTTTCAATCTTCCGCTAATGCATATTGGTATCGCAATTTTACCAATTTCTATTGTTTTAACATAATAGTTCCTCTAATTTTACTTTTCTAAAGGTAGCATAAATTATCAAAATGGAAGGATTTGAGATAAGATTGACAAGCAGCAAGAAGGTAAGTGATTTTTAACGTATTTACGGTATTGTAGTCGAAATGTTTTTTTTTCAATGAATTGTTATTTTTACAGGGTAAAGGACTCTTTGCAACCCAGAAATTTGATCAGGGTGATGTTATTTTAGAAGAGGATCCTTTAGTGTCGTGTCAGTTTGCTTGGAATGCGGCCTACAGATATTTAGCATGTGACTACTGTATGAAGTATGTTTTGTTCGATATTTTTCTGTATTTCTATTTATTTTGTTTTTTAGTATATAGATTAAATTTAGGAGTGTTATTTGACACAAGGTCTATAGTAAAAAATAAAGTGCGCTCGTAATTACTAATTTTACAACTGAAAAAAAATATTGAGAAACATCGCGTGATTTCAAAGAACCAAAATATATTTTTCATAGAAATAAACTTATATTAATCGTTAAGGTGCATGGAAATACCATAACCATACATAGATATGTATGGTTATGGTATTTCCATCTTACTAGTTGCATTTAATTTCTATTACATTACCAAAAGTTTTGCAACAAGGTAACATAAACATGCAATTACAAAACAATGTAATAATTTCACAAACTAAACCAAAAATCAATCCAAAATATTTATACATAGTACTATGTAGTTATTTTTCTAGAATTTAATTTTGTTACTTTATAAATATATACAAATCGTATACTATTATATAAATCGGAAGAGTTAGTTTTTTGTTTGAACGCACTAATCTCCGTAACTACAAGTCTGATTTGAATAATTCTTTTTGAGTTGGATAGCGCATTTATCGAGGATGGCTATAGGCTGTAAAACATCACGCTACAACCAATAGGAGCTGAGCAGAGCATGTGAAGTTGCTAGTCTTTAGCTATTTGTGAACTTTAATATATCAGTATCAGTCTGTATCATATTCACTACAATAATCAATATCTACCAATTTCAGACCACTAGAAACTCCAGAACAGAATGTAAGGCGACTATCATGCAAACCAGACATAGTTCTGCCACATTCTGATAGATTTGAACTGAACCTTGAAAGCATAACAAGCTGTGACCAATGTGGCGCCCTCTACTGTTCCGAGGGATGCAGACAGAAAGCTTATGTGACATATCATAGAATATTGTGTCACAATCCGAGTGATGCACAACATCCTATTGTTGTTCTCATGGAGACATGGAAGTAAGTATGAAGTTTTTTGCTACTCAGAGTAGTGTAACCAAGTAAACATTATGGTCTTTTAAAAATGAAAAAGTAGTCTAATAATCTACTATTTACTATTGATTACTTTGCTGAAGATTTAATAGGTGATGATAAAAACGTCAACCCGCATTGAGTAAGCATGGTGATTAATGCTCAAACGATCTCCGTTTGAGAAGAGGCCTTTGGTCACTTTGGTCGTCTACTACTTATTATAGGATGTGTGATGTGTGATGTGTGTGATAAAATTGCTAATGGTTGTATCGGTACCTCAATACTTAGTTCTAAATAAATCAAATAGAAAACTAAGTATCTTTAAATATCTTTTCTTCAAACACTTAGATCTCATTAGAACATGTAATTAAAAGAAAAAGTAAAATTTTCCTTAGTAACTAATTAAATAAAAATATAATACAAGAATATTCAATTACTTTCAGACAAATGCACTACCCACCAGAAACAACAAGTATAATGTTGCTCGTAAGAATACTGGCCTACATACAACAGAGTTCAGATCCATCTGCGGCTAGAGCCAAAGTGAAGCAGTTCTGTCACCGCACTGAGAACGAGGACGCTGAGTTAGTACACAAGTTGTTAGGAGAACAGTTCACGCATCAGATGAATACATTGCGAGAGTTGACCTCTCATGTTGTTAGCGGAGATGAAGTTCAGGAGGTAAGATTTTTTTTCAAAAATTCAAAATTCATTTGGTAAGATTTTGTTTAGCTATAAGTGGTTCTGATCAATCGACTGCACGGTTGGTACTGTGGCTGGGCAACCGGCTGCTGCGCAAAATGTCGCGGGTTCAATTTTCGCATGTTTCGGGTCTGTGTGTTATGTATATGTGAAATTGTATATTTGAAGCGAACCCACGACACAGGAGAAAATCCTAGAGTGGGGCAATGACTTAAAAAAAACACATGATAACATCTAAAGTTTTAAGAGTATAATAAGACTATACTCTTTTGTCTAGGTTCGAAATCTTAGGTCTCGTCACGGAGCTGCGGAGGACCTAACGGGCTCCGGCTCGAAGAGCAGAAGAAACCAGATGGGCTTTAGTTAGTAAGAGTCTGACATCCCGTCTCGCTTCATTCAAGCTGGGACAAGTCATTCAATGATTTACCCCTCCCCAAAATAAATAAAGTTTTGTTATAACTTCTTCAGTGTTGCTTAATTTGCAATATGTAAAAATAGACGGTTTATTGTTTTACTTAGGGTTCATATTTAAGCTAAGATAATCGTCTTCAGACCAATCGGTATACTAAAATATTTGTACTAATGAGGAAATTCTTAACAAATAAAAAAGGTATTACTCCATTAGGTATACATATGGGATTTCGGTTCTGTTTGATTAGATTCTTGTGGCATTGAGTCATCGGAGAATCAATTAGGAGATTTTAATATTAATGTTGGTACTAAAATATTTGTTTTGAGCTAACATACTTAAAACAATGCCTAGACAGAATTTGTTTAAACACTCGAAATAGATGTTAAACAAACAATTAAATAAATGGCACAAGTTTTGTATTTACTTAGGATATTTGCTCATTTATACATGTATTGACGATATGATGATGTGTTACTACCTTCTACTATTCATATAACTGTAAAATTCTTTGCATAAATTGGCATACTCTTGTTTTTGTACTGTTGTTGACGACTCTTTAGGTCATTCATTGCTTTGTTTGTAACTCACTTTTATATTAGTACAGACATCGGCATATTGATTCTATTTGTTATACATCAATACATTTTAAACTTTTATTTCTTTGGAATAGAGATCAAAATCTGTTGCAGTTAGTATATTCGGACATTTGATGTACTATTGCACCTATAAGATTAGAATTTCGTAAAAAATTATAAACTACTAGCGGACCCGACAGACGTTGTCCTGCATATCCACTTGAATGTATAAACAAAAATTCATTCAAATTAGTTTAGCCGTTTAGGATAACTTACCTAGACAGCGACTGCAGCGACATCTGCCGGGCTGATTTGTGAATCTAAACCATCCAGGGTACCACTCAAACGCGTACAGAAAAATTCATATAAATCGGTCAAGCCGTATAGGAGGAGTTCAATGACATACACACGTACAGCAGAATTATATATATAAAGATTATGTTTCTTCCATTGCAGTTTTTAACACCAGAAGGATTTTGCACCCTAATGGCGTTGGTGGGCACAAATGGACAAGGCATTGGTACCAGTCCCCTGGCTATGTGGGTCAATTCTGTGTTGGAGGTAACAATGTCTGATGATGAGCGGCAACAACTGGATCTGTTCATTGATAAACTCTATCAATATGTGGAAGAAGGTAATCATTTAATAAAAATCTCGATAACTTCATGTTTTTTTTATGGCATAAGCTGGTAAACGAGCAGACGGATCATCTGATGGTAAGCAATCGGCGTCTCCCAGGGAAACCTGGAACAACCGGCCTTTTGGGGATTAGGAGTTTGAGGATCGTTGGAGATTCAGGAATTGGGGAGATTAGGAGATTAGGGAAGGGGAGGGTAATTGGGCCTCCGGTAACCTCACTCACACGACGAAACACAACGCAAGCGTTGCTTCGCGTCGGTTTTCTGTGCGGCCGTGGTATCACTCCGGTCGAGCCGGCCCATTCGTACCGAAGCATGGCTCTCCCACACTTAATATGTACAATCATATCTGTAGACTAGAAATTTGACTAGTCTCTCTTAGACGCTTTATAAGCTATCTGTTAATGATATTGTTGTTAATCTCGTTGTAAAAGGGTAACATTCTGTCAAAAACGTTTGATAATTTAAGAAACCACCGAACGCAGCCACATAATTTTTTGGTTATTCTGCTATAGAACACCACATATCTTGCCATTTATTTCGTCGGAAAATTGCTATAGCCCACCATTCCAGACTTCATACTATTGTTGAAAATTTTTCGGAAACTGAAAATACTAAATTACGTATTAACTTCGGATAATATTTAATTTATAGATTGCCTCATTGGCCGAGTGGTCGCAAGTGCGGCTGTCGGGCAAGGGGTGTCTGGTTCGATTCCCGGGTCGGGCAAAGTATTACTGGGTTTTTCAAAATTCAGAGAAGTAGCACGGAGTCTGGAATTGTGCCCGGTATATGGCAATAGGCTCACCCCCTATTACACGGGACTCATAACATAAATAGTGAAAACTGGGTGTTACATTGTACAGTGGCATAATGTACACCTCTGCTTACCTCTTCTAGGATAAAAGGCGTGATGTTATGTTGTTATGTAATATTTAATTTTCCACCATTAAATTACAGAATCAGGCTCGTTCCTCAATACGGAAGGTTCCGGACTCTTCCAGTTACAAAGTTCATGCAACCACAGTTGTGCTCCTAATGCCGAGTCAACATTCCCCTATGGCAACCATAGAGTGCAGCTTAAAGCATTAAAACCTATAATGCCAGGTGAAGAGATCTGTATCAGTTATTTGGATGAGTGCACCCTGCAAAGATCACGACATTCACGGCAAAAGGTGAGATACCAAAATTAGCTTTTTTTTAAAAAAAAATTAGGCAATGCTGTTTGATAAACCATAATTTTAAACTAGTACGATATCGATGAGTCATGGTGGCCCGGAGGTTAAGACGCCTACTTCTCATGCATGAGGGTGCGCGTTCTAACGGCAAGTACCAATGTAACTTTTTTCGAGTTATATAGTCTGAATCGCGAGAAAACCTGGACTTATAATTTCTAATTATAAGTTTGAAATCGCCAACCCGCATTGAGCAAGCCTGTTGATTAATGCTTAAACCTTCTCCGTGTGAGAAGAGGCTTTGTTCAGTAGTGGACACTTATAGGCTGTTGTGTTTACGATATCGAAACTACCTGCAGCTGTAGCCAAATGCCACTTAGCGCTTGTCTACATGTAGAATAGAAAACCAAATTATATGGAATTGACATAAATTTTGACACATGTCAGTGTCATCCCCATACATTTAGTTCTCTACTCTCTCTGTAGACAAGCGCTAAAGTGGCGTTTGGCTAAAAGCACTGGCCTTCCAAGTTTGTAGATAATGACAAACCTTTCACAGGTTGTTTATAGTTAATGACTTCCGGAGTACTTAACTTGATATTCATTAAATAAGTTAAAAACTCGTTCTATTTATCAGGAACTGGCCCAGAACTACCTATTTGTGTGCTGGTGTGAGCGGTGCAGCTCTCAAGCGTCGGAGCCAGACTGCACCAGCGAGGAGGAGATGAGCGATGAAGACATCGATGCAGATGACTGATGTTCCAACCTACTGGCCTTTTGCTTGCTCGGCTTATGATGCAATAAGTGCAAGAGGTCCAGGAATTACCAAAACGGTAATAAGAATAACGAATCAAGGGTTTGGTTCGGGGCAATGGTAATATTTAGTCTTATATTCGTTGCTTTGTTCACTAAGAATGTTGTGTTTTTGTATGTTGAGTTGATTCTGTAGTGTAATGGTCTAAGGTCGGAATACTCAAACGCTACTCAATTTTAAGTCGTGCTTAAATATAATTCTGTCTCTACAAATTCTTTGTAAAATGACAGAGATGGCACGATATTTGAGCACTACTTAAAATTGAGTAACGTTTCAGTATTCCGGCTAATAAGATGTTTAGAAATGGATAAGTGTGAATATGTCTACATAGTACATAATTAAGATTTATTTTCTTTCAACAATCTGACTAGAGCCTCTAGCCAAATGGCGCTTGTGTACCGAGACAGTAAAAAATTCAATGCATGAGGATGACATTGACAAGTGTGAAATTTACGTCAATCTCATATAATTTAGTTTTCTACTCTACAAGTAGACAAGCGCTAAATAGTATGGCTAAAGGCTCAGTTAAGTTTTCCGTTCTTGATTTCAAAAGGTCTTTCCATGACACTCTTCCAGCCCTCTAGATAAATAGTATTTAAAGTATTCAATGAGTGAATGGAAAAGTCAAAGTATGAGCTATACATTAATTTTTCTATTCGCTTGTTTGATTAATGTTTCAGTACAGAAGTCTATATAATTTAGTAATTACAAACATACAGATGCTTTACGAAAATATACATGTTGGTATTAAAATATTTCTATTCTACTCGTAAGTAGATAAATAGATGTTACTAGTAGTAATAATAATAATTATTGTTATTAGTAAATTATACTATTAAATGAATTGATACTTCCAATACTGTGTGATTCATGTACATAGCTTTTGTTTTAGCACAATTTAGTACATTCTCAACTTTGCTGTATAAACTTTAACTCAAGATACTTTATCAGCTGTTTCATATTGAACTTTATTTCAAAGGTATTAAGAGCGAGATTTTTAAAGCAATATATTTTATTATGACATTCCCTAACGGCACTAATCAGAGTATACTTATATATTAGTATGTATAGTATATAGTTATTATATATGTCACTATACGTAATTATATTAGCACTTTATGGTAATGTAATGTATGATAACGAAGGAAATGTTTTAATGTCTGTTTGGCAAAATTAAACTTTGTGTCGCTGATATAAGGTTTAAAATTGGTGTAGCAAGTAGCTTATTGTATTTTATTCACGTGAATAAAGAATTGAAACTATATATTAGCTTGAAAGAAATATGAAAATGTTGTTTAGTTTGAAATAAGTATTCTCCAACGAATATTAAATTATGAATAGGTATTGAATGATAAAGGGCCCAGATAGTGGCATTGGAGCAAGTAATCGAATTTTGTAACGTAAAGCCTCAGAGAGTCGGCCTAACATATAAATGTAATTAATAATACTAAATAGTAGATATTTAATGTATTTTTCTCGTGTCAAATTAATGCAACGATGCACAATTTTTGTAGTAAATGTAGTATGAAAACACCTGGAAGGGAATAGAACGATAATGTTACTAGTTTAGAATTCGGTAGCTGTTTGAATTAAAAGTATTTGTAGCATGCATTGAGTTACTATAGTTGGACGATAATGAGCTCTAAGTTTAATTGTTTTAAAGCATATTTTGCAAACACAGGACCAAACTTTTGGTGACTGTGACGAATACAGTTGCAATAACATCTTGATTAACAGTTCAGCGCCTACTTAAGATTGTTTTCTATAATCTCCACGATTGCCAGGCAGGGTGGAGACTATAGTTTATAAAGTTCTCTGTCAAATATAGAGATTGTGTGCAGTGGAGATAAAAACGTAACAATATTAAAAAGTGTGGCATTGTATTTCGTCCAAAAGTTTGGTTTCTTGTACATTGTTAAGTAGCATGTTAAAGTTTTTAGCTTACTATTATATATTAACACCAAATTATTATACATAGCATAATTATTAATTATTGCTAAACGAAATTGTTATAAGTATATTATATGTGGCACTAAAATACTCAATAAACGTTACTTCTTACTTATAGTTGGGCCATGTGTGAACTGTCATAAGTCTTTTTTTCATCGGATCTCTCACTCACACGTATGTGAGTTGTGCGGCGTTGTTACATTTCTTTGACGTGTCAGCTGCCATGCTCATCTACACGCCTAAGTTTGACGAGGTTATTAGACATTTTCAAGCCACACTAGAGGCTCAAGACCGTTAAACTACGCCTATGTCTACGGCCTTGAGATAAATACTATACATATAGTCATCACTGTCTTACACATATATTTGCAAAAATGACCGTATCGAGCATAGCAAATTTTGACAGTCGCGCAATATTACTCATGAATTTGAGCCCCTATCGTGGTTTGAAGTCGAATTACGTTGTCAGACATTTACGTGAGTAAAGGCTGTATTACATCGGGACATTATTGCGGCGCATCCAGTCGCCGTGACCAACAAAATGTATACAGAGTGCCAAGCACGAATAACTATCGCATTCGTAACGTAATAGTATCGGGCGCGTTCGGCGCTCTGATTGGCCGGCTCAAGTGAACCAACCAATCAGAACGCTTTACTCGCTCAATACTGTTACGATATGAATGCGATAGTTATTCGTACTTGGCCCTCTGCTCTATAGAGCGTTTGTCGCCTGGTGTCCATTTGGTTGCGCAACCATTCGGGGTGCTTATTCTTGAACCCAATTTCAATGTCAATTAAATCTCAATAATTATCAATGTCCAAATTATACAACCTCTATCGTAGATGTTAAAATAGCATTCAGAGTATAGAATAGAGGTATAAAGCCAAACTCAATACCATTTAGTTCATTAAATATCTACGAAATACGTATTGGCGTTAGTGTTAAAACTCAAAAATAAGAAATTTTAAAATTACAATTTTAAATGTCGATCGATCGGAATTGGATTCGAGAGTAAGTCCCCTGGACGCCCAACGCGGATGGTACAACGCTGGTCACACCACCACTAATAACTATAGCGCTTAATGGTGTCACTCACTTAGCTGATGGCGTCGCTATGGTGTCCCAATAAAATATAGTCCTAAGAGTCTCACTGGGGTTATAAGTATAATACAAGAAGTAACGTTTGTTGATCGCATTCTCATTATTATACATTGCATTTCTGGCAATCTTATTGTTATAGTAAATTGATCTAAGTATATAGGTGTTATATTATCAGGGTACTAAATTGTGCCAAATAGTTATAAAGTAGAATGTTCTGGAATAGATTTTAGAATAATTGTAATAATTGGCATTTGAATTTGAATTAATCTGTTCATTTTGTGACGATATTATTGTATGAAGTTTTTGTTTTAAAATATTGCTTGTCGTTGAGAATGTTGATTGATAGTGAATTGTTTGAGTAAAGGTGCTTCCTCACCGGGAGCATTCACGTGTAATGAACATTATAGATTCGACTTTGAGCATTACATTACAATAATACCTACCCGACTAACGAGCATTTGCATGTAATGTAACATAGATTCGACTTTGAGTATTTCATAGCAAGATGTCAGACATTGAAGTTACAAGTTGTATCAAGATATTACACATTGTATCATTACAAGGTGCGCATTGTAATGCTCGGTTCTCCTCCTTCACTGATATAATGCTCAGATCTGTGACGTTACATTTTTTTTTATAGTATAAGTCGGTAAACGAGCAGACTGATCACCTGATGGTAAGCAGTCGGCGCCACCCATGGACACTCGAAATACCAAGGCGTTACAAGTGCGTTACCGGCCTTTTGGGAATTGGGAATTTGAGGATTGTGGAGGATTCGGGGATTCAGGAGACGGGGACTAGGGAGGGGGGTAATTGGGTCTCCGGTAACCTCACTCACAAGACGAAACACAACGCAAGCGTTGTTTCACGACGGTTTTCTGTGAGGTTGTGGTATTACTCCGGTCGAGCCGGCCCATTCGTGCCGAAGCATGGCTCTCTCACACGTGAATGCTCCCATATACGCTATACTACACGTGAATCCTCCCGGTGAGGGAGCACCTTTATGTTTTGATTGTATTTTTGTGACATGTTAAGTGCTGGACACCTAAAGAAAACGTGAGTTTAATTTTAAATTATTTAAAACGTTCTATTCTTAAATAAAACATTAGCAAATTTGTGTAGAAACATGAAGTAGTTGTATATTATGTATACGAATTGTTTTTTGGTTTTTTAGACCCGTATTATTCTGGAATTAATACGTTTATGAAAACGATAAATGTGAATAAATAAAAAAAAGTGTTTAAATATTTTTTGCAAGTATGCTTAAGTTTAGTGAATCATCAGAAAATGAACAGCTGTTTCTTAAATAACTAATTAAACAATAAGTTCACACATTACATTGTCTATTTCACGTTACTAAAAAAGGTATATATAGATTGTTATAGGTGAACAGCAAATTGAGCCATCTGATACTATCAAATTTCACCTTTTTGGCTTTGTAACAAAGTTCAAATTGAATAATTTGATAGTTTAAGGTAGCTTGGTAACACATGGTGAATAGAATATTTTTATTGCAGAGTGAATTTTAAAATAAAAAAAACAATGAGAGTATATTGTTAGCACCGAATTTGTTTTGAACAGTCACAGAGTGTAATGAATGTTGCTTTTATACAGAAAGTGTTACTCAGCTTATATTTTTGAAATAAACCCCTTTGACCATACCAATTGAATTGTTTTTTTTGTTTATTTTACTTTAATTTATTTTAATACCTTTAAGTATTTGTGAAATCACTGCCGGTATTTTTGCATCATTGGAATTGAACCTGCGACATGTTGCACAACAGCCTGTCATCCAAACTTACCTATTGTTAAGAATTCGTGAAATAGTGATTTCACGAACCGGTAGTGGCCGGTATTTTTGCATCATTGTGGAATCGAACCTGCGACATGT